TGGAGTGGCTGAGTTCAGTCTTGGACAGGATAGGGCTGGAGAGGATGCCGTCCACCGAGGTAATAGGGACTACTCGTTCCAGGGGAGTCAGGGGGATCCATTGGCGTTTAGCCAGATCCACATCCATGAAGTTGTCGGCAGGCCCCAAGTCCACCAGAGCATGCAGCTGATGCGAGGTCTCATCACGAACGAGGGTGACAGGGAGGAGGAGTCGGTGGGAAGAGACGGGGGCAGAGGGTGACCCGGGCTGAGCTACCCCGATACTCAGCGGGTCCCTTCGTTTCCTGGCCGTAATGGCCAGTCCAGGCGCCGGTGGTCGGGAGAGCCACAATAGGCACAAAGACCCTCGCGCCACCGTCGCTGTCTCTCCTCCGGGGGAAGGTGGCCTAGCTGCATCGGCTCCTCGGTTGAAGAGGGTCCAAGGGCTGGCGTTGGTGGACGAGGAAGGGGTCCAGGAGCTCTGAGTGGGCGAGCGGAGGACCTGGGTCGAACCAGAACCTGCTGGTCGACACGCAGCGCCAGGTCGGCAACCTCATCCAGGGTCTGGGGCTGTTCTTTTCCTGCCATCTCGTCACGGATGTAGGGAGCCAACCCCTCCAAGAAGACGGCCCGAAGGGCAGAGTCATCCCACTGTAGCTTGGCTGATATGGTACAAAACTCTGACACATAGGCGCACACCGAGCGTTCCTGTTGACGGAGCTTAAGGAGACGTGCTTCAGTACCCATTTCGCTACTGGGTGGAACGAAGGTCTTCCTGAGGGCAGCCACAAAAGCAATATAGTCATTACAGGCAGGGGATTTAGCATTATAGAGTGCCGCGGCCTACTCCTGAGCACGTCCAGAAAGCAGGGGGGTGAGGTGCGCAACCTGAGTGCGGGCCGTGGGGAAGCGGTCTGGTTGGCACTCGAATTGCATGTCGAGGGAGGCGAGCAAAGCATCTGGGCTCCCAACCTCTCCATTCCACCTTTCAGGTAGGCTGAAGTGCGGCTCTGCCTTAGGTGGGGCGAGGGCTTGCTGCTGAAGAGTGTTGATGGTTGTGGATAATTGAAGAGCGAGGTCGGTCAGAGAGTTCACCTTGGTGTTGAGTAGGTCGACCAAGGCGTGAAGCTGAATAATCTCATTCTTCATTTGCTCAAACTCCTCTGGGTTCACGGACTCAGTCATCCTGTCAGACTGATCGGCTAGGGTCGGGAGCTGAGCTTGTTGAGAGCGTGGTTTCACAGACGCGGAAGTGAGAGCGCCGGTGAATCGCCGGCTCGCAATTTAATCTAGGAATCCCCGAGCGTTCGAGCGTCAACAAAGGGACACGGAAGTGCTGGGTTTTCCAGAAGTAAGTAAGACCACTTACTGTGAGCAGAGAGTTTGTGAGGTGGATCGGTAGATTAGTAACTCTGATCATGGATTCGAAGAAACGATGACTGAGTGATCAGCTGGGGAGACGACCTCTGTATATAGGCGCGGTTCATGACATAGGTGTGACGTGGAGGGAATCCCCGCGAGGGGCATGTTGGGAATTGTGGTCCGTGGTGGAGGCCGGCTAGCTGGGAGAGACTGGTTTGGGGACTTGAGTTCTGACACGGGGCGACCACCCCCGCTGGGGACCCAGCAGAGCCCAGGGACCCAGACCCCACCAGGCAGCCACCGGGATTGGTCAGGCAGATGCCAAAAATCGTAAACTCCCTGACCCGGGAGCCATGACCCAGGCAGACCAAGGCACCGCACTCCACACCAGATGTGGCAGGGAGAGGGGAAATGAAAATCTGTATCATCACAAGAAGTCCCAGGAGAAGGGAGGAGTCAAAGGCCCCACCTGACTTATACAGTCATACACAAACACAGTCACACACTCCCTCCCTCATGCTCACACATACACATACAACCAAAGACTTGCAAAAATGCACGCTAGACACCCACTCATGCTCCCCATACACACCCTACTCACTCTGGTCCCGGTACTGCTGCACATGGGGTACAACCATTACCGGTTCCATGAGTTCAACCCTTTCTGCTGGGGTGCTGATGAGCAGGCTCCCCCGCCCAACGCTGAGCACAGCAACCCACCACCCCAGACCCCAACCAGACGGCCAGATCTCCCTCCTAGCCTCCAGCCCCAGGAAGCCAAGTGACAACAGAGGTGTGCTAAGACCCCTAGTCTCCCTCCTCCTGCTCCAATATGGTGTTAGACACCAGAAATTAAATATTTGGTCAGTGCTTAACCCTTTGATGCATGAATTATGAAATATTCAACCATGATTATTTCACAACGTCTTTCATTTATCCTCAGGCGTGAATGAAACAAATTTCAACAAATATTTTTTGTAACATTTAATAATTTGCAAATAATTTTTCTACATGTCCACCACAGTGGACAGAGTGCATTGTGAACATGAAATATGTTGGCTGGACTTACTGAAGTGCACATAGAGGGGCTCAATGCAATGAAGTCTTCAACAGCTGTGCTTAATAGCAAAAAACGAATAAGTAAATTACAATTTGTAGAACCCGTGCACTGTAATGACCACTTTGCATCATGGAGTTAATTTTTCATCATTGTGTTCTAGTTTAAGTTACCTTCAGGCCTCAGTTGATAAGACCTTATTTGCTCAGAGCACAGCAGCTGTTGTTTGGGTTTCTTTGAGCCTGGCGATGCTCTCTCTCTGTTTCACATCTTCAACCCTTTTTTCTCTCCACCGCTCTGTGCTTCCTCGTAAGCATAATACATTTGTGACACGTCAGCAGTTATCAAAATCATGTTTTCCATCAATCCTCTGATTATCTTCAGATCACTCTTCTTCAGATTTCCATATTTCCTGGATTTACATTTCCATCAATGTACAATACTCACTCAAAAGATATTTTGTGAGTTCTTATTCCCCCATATAGATACCACACTGTCTCTTCATCGGCATGCGGTCAGATTTAGGCTTACGAATCCGCCCCCCAACTGTGTGTCTAAACACTGCGGGACTCACTTATCAGCCAACCAGTTTAAAAGTCTGACCACCAACTTGAGACATGTGCAGTGAGTTGCAATATCGTTCTTTCTACAAGAATAAGCAAGAACAGACACTCTCTCCTTCATTTGAACAACAGTTAAAGCAGACAAAATCTAAGACAACAAACAACAACACAGATAACTAGAGCATGTTTCTATTTCTCCGGCTAAAACGCTGAAAAACCCAAGCCAAACTCAGACAGCATTCAGAGAATCTGTCAAAACATCACTTCCAGCGGACAACACCAAAATTTGAATCTCAATAGTTATCATACCAGTTTACTTTTATTTCTTAAACCAGAGTTTCATTTCTAATTTCGGCTAAAATGCGCAAAACCAAGCCAAATACAGACAGCATTCAAAAGAACCCATCAAAACAATACTATTTACAGCGGACGACACCACTTTATTCTCTGGTCACCTCGGATTTTCTCTCGGTACCACAAAGACAAACGAACAAACAACACACTTGTCTCACCAAATCTCTCCACATCAGGGCTTGGGTTCGTGGATCCGCATCCCTCCTAGCGATGCCAAGACCCTCACACCGACCCCCCAGCAAAACTCAGCGCTGGAGGAGATTTAGGTTGTCGACAGTCCTGCGTTGGTTCTTGGTGCTGCGAGGTGACGGGTCCCTGGCTCTCAAAGGGCCAAATTATATCAAGGATTTTATCAATAGGTTTATCAATAAACCCATTTCCTGGAGTTGAAGAGAAAAGGGACAAGGAACAATGAGGCAGAAATACATCCAAATCATGATGTAGTGGCAAGTGCGCAGGGCAAATGTCCTGAACAGCAGGTCACAGAGTTTATTTAAGCAAAGAGATGAGAGAGGCATGGGAGTGGATAGAGTGTGTGTGTGTGTGTGTGTGTGTGTGTGTGTGTGTGTGTGTGTGTGTGTGTGTGTGTGTGTGTGTGTGTGTGTGTGTGTGTGTGTGTGTGTAAATGCTTTCAGGACATTCACTTAATAGATCTGTTAATACGACTAAAGTAATGAAATATAAAATTTCCATGACAGTGTGAAAAATAACAAATCTTGTTTGCAATCAGTGGTCCACATTAGTGGGAGTATTTTGTAGTTTGGTGTCTCCTAGAAAATGTTGATTCTGAAAGGAAACTAAAGGTTTTCTGACCGATATAGTGGGGTGTACTCATTTATGCTGAACAATGTATCTCCTGCATCAGCCTCTGATAGAAAACAGGCGGCGAAACTCTAGGATTAGAAAATCCTGACAGATCTACGTCACACTGTCACTTAATTACTCATCACTTCCAACAACCAGCGCAACAGCCTTGTACACAGACACCATAAGGAACTGGTCTACAAAACAGCAGAGGGATCGGCACAGTTTCTGATATCAGCACACACACACACACGCACGCACGCACGCACGCACGCACACACGCACACACACACACACACACACACACACACACACACACTCACAGCTAGGGTTGGAAAACAGTAGGCGTCAGCAGAGGCGCTCGTTAATTCTCGCCTGATGTGAAGAGATAAAGTAAGAAAAAGATCATCATAAAAATTACTATCATCCTCATATGGGCCACAGATATTTGTTAAATTTAAGACTAGAGAGCCCTGAAACGTTAAATACCTTCCTCTTTAGTCCCTAATGATACATTAGTGCAGTGGGATACTCCTCTGATTTCAGGTGTGAATGGTGCTGTGAAAACTGCATCCCTCCACCTCCGCTTCACTCCTAAATTATCTTCATCAGGAAGATGGGATTCCTGTAAACCTATAATGTTGGAGTCCAAATCACTGAATTTGTTTATAATCTGTTTTAATTTTTGGAGTCTCACCCAGCAGTTCCATTAAATAAAATCACCAACTTCTCCCTAGGTATATCATCATCAAATGGCCTTATGATTTGTTCTGTTGTTCTTTGTGAATAATATGAATAAACTTTACTTATGTGTCACCAAAATGAACACTAATTCTTACAAGCACAACAGAGCTGGGTGGTGGAAAAAGCAACACCTCTTCCGCCCCTATGCTCCCCCCTCTGCGGGTGTGAGTGGGTTCTTCCAGACCGTTTAATCAAACGCAGATAGTCTGGATCACGTAGCTCAGTGAAACCAGCTAAAATGACGTTTAGTCGCTTGTTATCGCGAAGTGTTTATTACAGCAGAGGTAAGTTTAACGAGACAGCCACAGAGAAGTAGTTAGGGCTCTGTAGGAGGCGTATTTTAGTAGAATTTACCGCTAAGGTGCGTTTCTCTTTAAGCTTGACCTTAGCTTAGCTTAGCATACACAGACCGTTCTGACTGTTTCATTAGTGAATAGAGGTAAACGTCATTTATTTAACAGGTTTACGTAAACTGAGTAGTAATGCACCACTCGTCAGAAAACTGGCTTTTTATTTGGCAGCAGAATTTTTGGCTAGGGAAATTATCATTTTTCGCCATTTTGGGGGTGTTTATGGTTGTGGAAGAGACCCATCCTCCTGTGATGGCAATAATAACATCAAGAGATAATAAATAAAGTAATATTTAGGTAAATTTAACTCTTTACACGTGACCAGGACACTGTAATCAATTTTTGTCAAGGGAAATGATCATTTTTGCCACTTTTGGGGTGTTTAATGATACAGTAGACCGTATGAGTACAATAACATCAACAGATAATACATAAAACCCTCATTTGGTCAATTTTAGCCTCCATGAAAATCTGAGCGATTCAATCACTTTTTGGCAAGTAAAATGCTATTTTTGTTGTCTAAAATTAAATCATCAATAAAGAATTTAAAGATATTTTCAGGCGTTTCTTATAGGTAAACAGGAGGGTATAGTCTCTAATTTTATGTGCTGAAGTGCTTTTATATTGTTACTTTTAAATAGAGCAAAGTAATGTATAGATAGTAACTTACACAGTGTCATTGTAAAGCCAAAGCTTGATCAGTTTAAATACTATTTTTCAAGTAAAAATGTTTCCCAAACTAGTTAACTGTGGCTCCATGTCAAGTGGACTAAAGAAAGGAAGGGGGAAAAAATCAAATCGCTGGAGAATTGTTTATTTACATTTGTACAACGTTTACAGTCAATACAGGGTGCCATTTTACACTGTTTATTTATTTTTTACTATCAAGGCTGTAACATAAAGAAAGCCAGTTCTTACCACAATCCATCTTTCAACCGCAAAAAAATTGCAAAAAGGATTAATATATCCTCATTGTGAACGTTTAAGACAAATAGCAACACTTAAAACAACTTCCGAACTGGAAAAACTAATATCCGCGATAAACATCTGTTTAAGTACCGGAAGAGGTTATTTCTGCTTTCTCAATGTCCATATTGCTAGATATGCAGAGTTTTGAGGCAAAATCCTGGGGAATTTCGTCTAGAAATGCAATCACCCTAACCGTGCGCAATCCCGCGGTGGCTAATCATTTTTTGGCAACCAGTCGCTTTTTGGCACAACACCGGTTAGAGGTTCTGCTTTTATACGTCAGCAGTTATAATAATAATGTTACTGATAACTTTATAAAGGGCTGAAATATGTGTTGTTCACTCACTCTGACGTGTGTGTGTGTGTGTGTGTGTGTGTGTGTGTGTGTGTGTGTGTGTGTGTGTGTGTGTGTGTGTTATAGCTGGATTCAGATCTGCATTCACCAGCACCAGGACCGATCACACCCACCCGAACTGGCTGAGTGTGGCTCTTGCCTTTGGAACATCTGCATTCCTCTGGGCTCTGGTAAATGACAGAGAGACACTGTCTTTGCTGTGGTTGATGGTGCTGCTGGCTGAAACAGTTGGGTCGGGTTAACCGGGTCCGGTGTGTGAGGAAGGTTTTGTGGTAAGCAGAGACACTCACTGATCAGCTCACAGTGGGACAGCCGAGCGGACCGTGAGTCCAGTGGTCATCGTCCTGACCAGAACCTGGCTGTAGGGACCATCAGAGCTGTAAGAGGAGTGGAGCAGACCTCCAGTACGGTTTGCTGCTACCAGCTGTTGCATCATGGGATGGGTTTTTGTTTTTCACACACTGTGTTTTGCATGAGTTTGTTGAGTTGATAACTTGTTCATGTTGATCAGAGAGGTAGCGTTTATCTGACCCTAAACCTACTTGAGTGTAAGGAGCTGGCCTTCACCTCCCAGCAGCACTAACACAGCCAAGGGGCTCAGTCCTCATCCAGGCTCCGCCAAGCTTTTAGAGATGTCTCACACATAAAAACTGTCTAATGCCATGCCCAAGGGCACTTCACCAGAGCCAGCTACAGGACAGGATTGGATCACCCCTCCACCACAGAAAGTTTGTCCTCAGCAGAGAAGAAGTTGTGTAACTGATGCGTCTCTTTCTGTCTTCCTTCTGCAGCTTTTCAAACAGCACAGCACAGATGTCCACGAATACAGAGTGAGAAATGGTCTTCAGTAACCCGCATTAACGGTAGATGGAGACGCGGCTACAATTCATAGTTTCTGGTGTTTTGACACGTTGTTGTGTGTAAATAAAACATGGTTCTGTGGTTCTTCTGCAGGAGGCTGCTCAGTCCTGTCTGCTGGACTCACCCGTGCTTCTGTCCTACACCCCAAACTCTTTCAATTCAAATAAATGTCTGTCATGTTTAAACAGCTGAGTCATGAATACCTTGTTGCCCTGTAGTCCTGATTCCTGCTTAGAAAAGCAACACAGCTACAGTAAAGAGTAAATAAAACACACAGTAGGAAAATATCTAGCTGTAGGCTTGATGTCCGTAAGGTAGAGCAGTTTGAGTCTCCACATCTTCTGACCAGGAGATGGCGATGTGCTGCTTTCCAGTCAACATCAGCTGTTCAACAGATTCTAGAAAAGGTTTTTCCAGTTTTTGGGCGGAGCTCTGAGCAGAAGGAAAAGCAGGTCTGATGAAAAAAATTCCATTTTATTTAAAAAAATTTCCAAACTCCATCCTGACTGGAGTGTGTGAGCTCCTGTTTTTACACATTTTCTAGAACTAAATTTAATTAAAGAGAATCGAAACACGTTATTGATCCCCCAGTGGGGACATTCATGTCAATAGGTTTTTATATGAAGACAAGAGTGTCCGTTTGAATTCCCGTAGGGTAAATACTTCCTCCAAAATATCTTGATTGGCATTGCTTCTACCCATAAAAATGGAAGTGATAAGAGTGGATTGTAGCTTTAAACCAATCCAGCGCAGTAACCTACGAAAACATGACTGAGGTTTTCTGTTGCAGACGTGGACAGAACTGTTGGTACCCTTCAGCCAATCAAAGAAAAACCCACAATGGTCACAGAAGTCACTCGAATCTGACAAACGTAATAAAAATTCTATGAAATTTAACCAGTGAAACCAGGCTTCAACAGAATTATTAAAAAACTATTAATTAAAAAAATTAACTCATGGAACAGACCTGGACAAAAATTATGGCCCCCCCTAACTTCATATTTTGTTGCACAACCTTTTGAGACAATCACTGCGATCTAGGGCTGGGCGATATATCGAAAATGTATCATTATGCAAATTTCTGACTTACCGAGAAATTTTCCCATGCCAATAAATTTGATAATAAAAAATGCAAAGATGTGTGTAGGTTAGCAACATTCATGTCCCTTTAAGAAGCTGCACCACCTTGATTCGCGTAAAAATGTGACTCAAAGTAATACGTGCAACAGCCCCCTCTAGTGGACAACTTTTGTTTCTGCGCACACCTGTACTTATCATCTATCGTTATCAAGGTGAAATCCTCAATATATCGTGATATTGATTTTAGGCCATATTGCCCAGCCCTACTGTGATCAAACGATTCCTGAAACTGTCACTGAGACTTCTGCACCTCTCGGCAGGTATTTTGGCCCACTCCTCATGAGCAAACTGCTCCAGTTGTCACCAAGGGCGCCTTTTCCAGACGGTATGTTTCAGCTCCTCCCAAAGATGTTCAATAGGATTGAGGTCAGGGCTTGTAGGAGGCCACTTTAGAACAGTCCGATGCTTTCCTCTTAGCCATTCCTGGGTGGTTAGCCGTGGGTGTTTTGGGTCATTGTCCTGTTGCAAGACTCATGACCTGCGACTGAGACTACGCTTTCTGACACTGGTCAGCACATTTCTCTCTAGAATCGTGTGGTAGTCTTGAGATCTCATTGTACCCTGCATAGATTCAAGACACCCTGTGGCAGATGCAGCAAAGCAGCCCCAGAACAGAATTGCATCCCCCCCGTCCCATGAGTGGCGTGACGTCTCGTGCAAAGGGTCAATAAGCCATTGACTGATTACAAGACTGATTACAAGATTGGAGTAGAAGGAGTCACCGCTCATCTGGGAAAAGGTGCTGGATAAAAGTGGAATAAAGAAAAATGAGAATCTGCACACTTCAATCTGCGATGTAGGAGTTTATTGGTCAAGCTTTCGGTCCGAGACCTTCATCAGGAGTTGCCATCCTGTCAAAAAGTTATTTGTTTGGAAAAAGGATGTATTATTGCCTTCTTCAAAAATGGACCGCCTCGTTTACCAACATCCGTTGCAGTGAGTAAGTCACGTCGTTCATTGTCCAGTAGCATGCGGAGAAGACTAAATAATACACTCATTTAGTCTTTTTGGTCTAAATATTTATTTAGTCTGGCTTGCCAGGCTATTAGTGACCATTTCTTTATAGGTTTCCATCATAGCACTATTCGACCGTCATACCCGTCATACAGCCCCTCCGCTGCTCGGTGGCACTGTTTACCTATGATACAGCTCCAGAGTGGGCAGGGCGCTCGGTTCTCCGCCCACCGGACCCGTTTCTGGGACATGTACCGAGCCGCTCGACCGCTGTCACACTCACGTTGTACCCGGAGAGCACCGATGTTTTCCTGCAGAGCGGCCTGGCAGCGGTGCGGGCTCTTGGCCCGGAGAGCGGCCCACAGGCTGCCCCAGGAGGGTGAGTAGTGGCCCTGGTGTGTGTGTGTGTGGGGGGGGGGGGGTGTCAGAACAAGCCGTCCTTCATGCCTCAGCAGCGGAGGTGAGTGCGACCCTACCGTTGACACAGCTCGTGTACTCGCTAGGATCCTGTACTTTAGGGATTACATGACTCTTCATCTACAAATGACCTTCATTCCTTCTCTTAGTCACGTGACGTGTGCACATGTAGCAGCGGTCAAAAGAACAGCAACGGCACGCGGTGAATGTGGCAAGCCGTTCTAACATTTAATCCATAATGCACCGTTCGGGTTATTACAAGAATGGCAGATTTCCTCCTTTGTCGTCCCTAAATGAAACTTATTATTATAATATACACGCTCAGCATCTTGTTGCTATAAACTCACTGTCCACACTTAGTCATGCTACCTCAACACTGGTTTGATAGAAGGCCAGAAAAGTATTTTTAGGTTTTATCTGTTTTGAGATATAATATTAATACCAACTTGGGCAGCACGATATTAGGACCACCTGCCTAATGTGATTATAGTGATTAATATGACGATTATGATATTATGTGTGATAAATAAAAAATTAACTCAGGAACAAAAATAATTAAAAGAAATTTAAAAAATGACAAATCATAAAAATGAGAAAAGCAAAAGATGTGAGGAAAAGGAAAAAGAAAATGAACAAGAAAAGGCAATCGGTGGATCCCGGCAAAAGCAGAAAGAGCAGAACAACTATAACTCGGGTGTTTGCTAACCATGAAAATGAAGTGCAGTCAGCCTCTGGGGCGGGCCTCTAACCTATGTGAACCCACCCAATTGGCCAAATGGGTGAAGAGCTCTATTTGATTTGTTAAAAAACATCATGCTTCCGTTTGATGGACAGAATGCATTATGTGTAAGAAACATTGGAGCTGACAATTCATTGCGATATTTATCTGTTCTTTGCCATATGCATATTGCGCATGCTGATATTGCGATAACACTATATTTGCGATATGTTGTGCAGCCCTAGTACCAACAATTACTTTAACCACTTACTTTCTCCCCAAACCTGCTCAGGTTCCTGTTCTTCTCGTGCCAGGACCAGTCACATTGTCATGCCCTTTTTAATTAGCTAAAGTGACACTTAAAATTCATTAGTTCTAGGAAGAATGAGATTTGAGATTCCTGGAATGTTCTCCTTCACCTGAGTAGAGACCTGGAATTAATATCCAGTTTGTCTGTTAAATATTGGAAATGTTTGCCATACAGCCTAAAGCAATAGAGGTGCTGTAAGAACAGGAACAAGGAAACGAACAAGAACAAATGTGGAAATCTCCAGAGTTTCACCTGTAAGGAATTAGAGCTTTTCTACAACTGAAAGAAACTTGTGGTGCTGTTTATTTATAAAGAAATGTGCCATCCATCATTCTAAAAATCCCAACTAACACTAATAGCATGTTTTCAGTTGGTGATGCTATACCAGCCTCAGGTCTAACACACAAGTACTTGTACTCGTCAAAGTTCTGGTATACAACAGGACCTATACGTGATACAAGCTTAGTTTACCGCTAACAAAGCATATTAGTTTAAGACGACCACCTTCAACCCAGCATAGGGCAGTCATGCACCATCTAATAAATGCAAGTCACTCAGAAAGCTGAAGAAGTTGCTGATGTACAGCAGCGAGTTCAGCAAGCCACTGACGTGGAAGTTCTTTAAAAAGCAGCAGACGCTTCTCTTCCAGCTGTTAAGGAACTCGTCCTGTAGTTGTAAGCAACAGAGGACAGGTTTCTAACAGACAGCACTGAGAGAAATGCCCTAAATTCTGAAGCCTATTTTATACTTCTTCGTCTGCAGAGGTGCGCCATTATCCACCGATGCAAGGGCAGGCACTCTAGGGCGGACAGAGTAGAGCCCAACTTTTCAGCTATCGGTCAAATGTCACAGAGAGATTGCACGTCTGTGATTGGTTGGCCCACCGAAGCCGCTGTCTCCTTTGATACCGTTGAATTCTTTGTAAGAAAAGATGAAGCCGTTCCAGCTCCGTGAAGACACTCGGTGTCGGCCAATGCTCATTGAGTGGACTTGTGTTTACAAGCTGAAGTACATAAACTGTCGTTGATCAGAGACATTGGTGGGCAGTCCTGCCAGAAACGTTTAAGCCCCCTGCTGTCCTGGCAGAGAACTGCTTCACATTGCTGACTCGCCAACAGAGAAATATAAAAGGAAAACATGTACGTCGGTACATGATTGCGTGAGTGCAAAGCTGCTGACGGAGAAGCTTAAACTAGGCTTAACTCAGCACAGCTACAGGACACTATAAAGCCCGACGTTTGCAACCAGACGGTCATCCAGTGATACTGCTATCTTGGCTGTGAGATTTTTGCTGTTCGTGGGCGATTTCTCCCTGTTATTAAGTTACCCACTTCTTCCTCCTACTGTTGGAAAGTGGAATTACACTAGTTGTAACAACCCTGCCGCAGTCTGCTGTAGCCAACGAGCTAACGCTAACAAGAGCCAACTGATGCTAAATGAGCCACAAAGTAAAAAGAAAACATATAAACTATTACTTACAAGCCCAGAACAATAATTAGTGCTATAACATAGAACTATAATTTAAGAAACGGTATCATATGTTTGCTTTAAAAGACACCAGAAAAAACAGCCAAGTCCTCAGTACTTATTCCATGGATTTATCCTTCGACACCTTCAACCTTGATGTCCATCCTCTCTAGCGTGAGCTTCACAGAGAACACACTCCTGGTTTGAATTGTACCTCACAGCATGTATCCTGGCTTGGTCACACTTGTGCTGTACACCCCCTCGCCACATGGGTACTCCCCAAGGCTCACTTCCGGGACTCTTATTTTTGTAGTCTATTCAGTTTGTTAAAGTCCACCGTGTCTCCGAAGCCCTCACAGAGACGAAAGGAAACTTAACGTGTTTTTGATGTTGGTTTTTCTGACATTTTCCTCTTTTACACCACGTAGTTTGAAATGATAATAATAATAATAATAATGATGATGTCATTTAGAAAACAGCAGTATCACAGTGAAGTCTCCACCTGCGATCTTTTCCAGCTGTGCAGCAGCGACTGATGTCCTCGGTTCCTGGAGGGTCTGGAGAGAACGTGCTATACACGGTGCTGTGTGGGGGAGCCCTGGTCGGGGCGCTGTCGTATGTAAGTCTGTCTGTTCCCATCGCTCCATGTCTATTCCTTACAAACTAAAGGTCAAACCAGATGTTTTCCATCGTTCACAGGCCTATGTCACTGTGACTTCGGACCGTGACAGGTACAATGAGCGTCTTGCAGAAATTCAAGCCAGACCCAAGACCCAATGGGTACCAAAGTCCTGGCCACCCAAAGGTCAGTTCTTGTTTACTTGGTGCTGCCATTTTCCTTCTCCCGAGTAAATAAATGGTGTCTGTGTGGTTTCAAAGAAACGTTGTTTATCAGATACAAAAATAACCCAGACTTTCCGCTGGACGTGAAAGCGGCGTGTAACAAAATAAAGGTGTTTTACTCGCAAGATCCCTTTCAACCGGGAGTGCTTCTGCCGTGACATGGGAGCGAAAGCGTTCCATGCAGCTGATCCCACAAAGGCAAGAAATCACAGGAGAATTGCAACTCCACGCGTGATTTCAAAAGTCCACATATTAATGCTTCTTTCCGGAGTATTTCTCTTATCTGATGGCACCATCTAGTGGCTGACAAGCATATCACACAAAAAGTCTATTCCTCTGTTTAAGATGGCAACTTCACGTTTCTGTTTATAAAGGTGCTTCTGTAGCCGACAAACAGAGCTAAAACACGTTGTTTTACGAGTATTATTCTCATGTCATGCTGTGTTCTCATATATTTATATTTTAGAGACTTACTTGTCTGTGAAAAGTTCATCAACTCTGCGTCAGTCGAGGTACTTCCTTAAATTTGAAGCAAGTGAGCAGTAGTCTAACACTATTGATTAGTTCTGGTCGGCGCTCAGTTTCCTATTGCACGGAGCTCCTCAGGGCAGGGGGCGTGGTTAGCAGGGAAAAAGACGTATTGCTTATATTTTATCACAGTAGATGATATAATCACTTTTACGGATTTCAGAAAAATCATTCATCATTTCTGAAAGGGGAAAACTCCGGAAAGCAGCTTTAATTAGCCAGGAGAAAGAGGCCTGCGTTTATCCCAACAGGCCTGTGGTTTATTTTCTGTTCTGTTTATATCGGCTACAGGAGGGTCACAGGAAAGGATGTACGTTTGTCTGCACAAGACTTTTATTTTGAAAGTTTCCAAATGTTTTACACTACATTTATGCTTGGCCCGATCTAAACTGCAGAGTTTGACATATTTTGGAAGCGTAGTGCATACAAATTTAATTTGTTTTATTTCAAACAGACATATCCGTCAGAATTTACTGTCATCATCATTAATTCAGCAACATTCCTCTGTTTGAAAAGGAGCAGGCTGAAGTATAAACCTGTATACCCCTCCCCAAGAACGCCAGAGAATATTTAATGGAAGTTCATTCCAGAGTTTTGGAGCCGCTGTCCCCCTGGCCCTTATCTCTTAGGACCACAAAGCGTGGGCCTGCATGACAAAAATCCATGATCCTAATTTAAAAAAAAAAAATTTCTAAAAAAAAAAAATACAATTTTTATTAAAGAAACTAACAGGAGATCTTAAAATCTATTCTGAATTTAACAGGTAGCCAATGTAGGGAAGCTAAGACAGGAGAGATATGATCTCTCTTTTTAATTCTCATCAGAACTCTAGCTGCATCATTTTGGACAAGCTGAAGACTTTTAACTACATTCTGTGGACTTCCTGCGAGTAATGAATTACAGTAATCCAGTCTTGATGTAATAAATGCATGAACTAGTTTTTCAGCATCACTCCTGAAAAGGATGATTCTAATCTTGGCAATATTCCGAAGGTGGAAAAAGGAAATCCTACAAACCTGTTTAATGTGGGATTTGAATGACATGTCCTGGTCAAAGATAACACCAAGGTTCCTTACTTTGTTCTCGGAGATTAATTTAATGCGGTTCAGGTCAGGTGATTGACTAAGCAATTTCCTTTTCTGAAGTCAGTCTTGTCTTGATTTGACAGCAGAAAGAACAAACACTGTTGTTCATCTTAAATCAGAGTTAGACTTGTCTGCCCAGATAGTCCACCTGCAAATGTGTCCAACCACAGATAATCCACATATTCAGGATTATCATCCATGATTTCCAAATGGAGCAGATCTTGTACTACAAATATGCTTTCTTTATGCTAATGTATGTAGTTGCAACAATAATAAAAAAAAGAAAAATTTTCCAGAATTAGTAGTTTGTTTATTTCATTTATACTTTTATCACCACAACAGGAAGAGAGTTGTGTGCCTCTTCACTCATGACTTTAAGACTTCCGCTCTCATGTCACATTTTTGTGTTTAAATAGTTCAGAGCAACCAACAGACTTTTAAAACAATGAAAGATGTGGTAATGTGCCATATATTTATTGGCGTTGGTAAATGAATGCATTAATGTGATGACATGTTATCTATGTGTACATGTATGTATATACGTGTGTGTGTTCATTAAACTGTTTTAAATGGGTCGTGTATGTTGAGCTTGTTTCTTTCTCTTCTGGTTTCTTGCAGCCAGAGATGACAATGAGGGTGAGTAAGGTTCATCTCCTCACCTTCACACGTTCCATTAGATGCCAGCATGCGTGTGCCTCAGTAGGAATGCTGACATCCTCATGTTGTCATCACAGCATGCTCTTCTCATCCTCACATACAAACTAAATAGAGGGTTCAATCCTGAAAATGGCAGCAGTTACGGGTAGAAGCGCTGAGGCTTCAGAGGAGTTAGGAGTTGTGTCTCCGTCACAGCCGGCTCACACTAAAGCAGCAAACATGATCAAAGCCAACAGTTACAGATCAGAAGCCACCAAAAGATCCGGTGTTTGTCAACACACGTGTTTTAATAACGTCCGATGAAAAACTTTAAGTTGTCGGACGTTATGACCGACGTGCTTCCTCCCTTAACTCGCCGAAATGACGCAAACTTCCTGAAATCCAAAAACTGCACATTTACCATTTAGACTTTATTTCTTTATCAATCAGAGGTTGTCTGGTCTCTGCAGCAGCGCTTCCTCCAAACCTTTTAATTGATGTGTGCATCGCTTTACGCAGCTGCATTACCAATGTGAGGAAACTTGGGCCTAGTCCACACGTAGCCGGGTTTTTTTTAAAAACGAATATCCGCCCCTCCAAAAACTTGCATCCACACCACCTCATTTAAAAAAAAAACTGTCCACACGTACCCGGATAAATACGTTGTTAAGGACATGCCAGACCTGTAGGCGGCAGTACTTCCCCCGTTCTTAACCTCGTCCTTCGTCTGTGGTCTTCCGCAAGGAGCAGTAATTCCGCTTGCAAAAACAAACAAGCAAAAAGCGCTTGGACAATTGATAAAGCGAGCGCAGCTCTGAGGGCTTCCATGCTGTCGGCTAGTGTAAACACAGGTCGCACACGTGATGTCAGCAGTTTTTTGTCGCGGAAAGTGACGTTGCGGACCTTAAAACTCCGGTTTTGTCTGTCCACACGCAGACACCCAAAACGGAGAAAACACAGATCTTCACTTTGGCCGGAGTTTTTAAAAAGATCTGTTTTCGTGTGAAAAAACTCCGTTTTCGTGTGGATGGCAGGCCAAAACGTAGAAAAATATCTACGTTTTGGCAGATCCCCGGCTACGTGTGGACAGGGCCTTAAGCTCATTCCTTATTGTTGTGATATTTGTGCTGAACTGAAATGCCAGACAGAATGAGTTTAGCCTCAACAGTTTAACAGACAGCTGAGACGAACCCGAATCTCCAGGTTCCCTTTCACTCTTCAATCAGCAACAGCATCTCTTGAAGGAACAGGAATTCACAATAACAGTTTATGGACCAAATACTGTCAAATGCTTTCTAATGTTTCATAATAACTCCTAATATTTATATGACCTCTAATAATCTGATGAATTCTGTTGGTTTAGTTTCTAAGCAGAGGGACGGTCTAATTTTCATTTTCTGAAATTTGCAGAAAATCACATTGATGGCTGTAAAATAATTTCAACAGATTATTGTTGCAATAAAAATATGTGTAAAGGTCAGAGGTCACTACAATGCCCACTGTCAAAGCTGTTGTAGCGAATCTGCAAACAAGCTAGTTTTTAAAAGCAAACACGGTCACAAAGCTTTCACTCCTCCTCTCGAGTGTCTTCCCTGGATCGGCGTCTACCAGAACCGGAAACCCACATTGCCAGAGGAAACAAGATGGCGCTCAACACTGTCACTGCTTCCTAGGTCCAAATGTCTTTTGTTGTCCGTGACTTTGGGTAGTTTGTCCTAAAGCTGAAGCGGTAGCAGCCGGCTGTTTCTCCTTCTCTGATGTAATTGAGCGGAGAACCTCTCACACCGGTGGTGTTCTGGTGCTGAACACGTGAGAGTGTGATGAGCAGAGGACCCAGGGAAGTGCGGTTTGGTAAGACCGACAACCGGATGGTCCAGTATTGGTTTTTAGTCCAAGCTGTGTTGTTGGCAGAGGTTTTTGGAAAAATGCAAAATAACAACTTTATTAATTTAAACGGGAGGTAAGTGCTCACCCCGTAATCGGAAGGTTGCAGGTTCAAGCCACACTCGGTCTGTTTCTGCCGTTGTGTCCTTGGGCAAGACACTTAGCCCCCCTTGCCTGCTTATGGTGGTCGGAGGGACTGGTGGTACCTGCGTACAGCAGACTCACCTCTGTCAGTGCGCCCCAGGGCAGCTGTGGCTACATCGTAGCTCATCTCCACCAGTGTGTGAATTACTTATTTTGTTGTAAAGTGCCTTGGGGGGTTCCAGGACTAGAAGGCGCTATATCAAGCCATTCACCATTTAAAGTTGGAGTCAAGTCATGGGTGGAGACGTATTTCATCCACACTTCCTGTTAGGAAAACGCTTCTGAAAGAGGCGTCGCCTGGCGGATCGAGAGCGCGGCACTGACGCAGTGATGGATGGCAACCCCCCACCCTCCGCGTGCGCTGTCGGAGACTCTCAATCTAAAAACGAGTTGTTAACGAGCGTGTGCACGCACTCACTGTAGACTTACTGCTCAGGAGAAGAGCAGACAGATTCTGCAGCATTCTGGAGGATTTCTTGTTTACCGCGATTATTAGATTAAAAATAGAGGACGGCAATTTATTTCTAGGAGGCGAGTGGCTCCGAGTGTCAACGTGTCATATCGGCAGGTGAGTGGCTGAGCCAGGTGGAGGAGTTTAAGTATCCCGGGGTCTTCTTCACGAGTGAGGGAAAGCTCGAGCATGAGATAAACAGGTGGATTGGTGCTGTGTCTGCAGGGATGCGGGTGTTGTACCGGTCTGTCGTGGTGAAGAGAGAGCTGAGCCGGAAGGCAACACTCTTGATTTACCGGTCGACCTACGTTCCTACTCTCATCTATGGTCACGAACTTTGGGTAGCGACCAAAAAATATGAGATCAGATACAAGCGGCTAAAATGAGTTTTATCCTCAGGGTGGCTGGGCTCTCCCTAAAGCTGGGCTAACGCTGTGCGACTTTTTCACTCGTAGCGTTCAGCTTCAGCTCAACAGTACGACTTCCCTAACGAGAAAATCTCACGAGTCGTGTTCACACTGTAAGACCCAGCGCCGCGATACCCTCACGAGGGATGAGCAAACTATCAAACACGCCAGAAATCTGTGCGAGCTCAAGATTGCTGATAGGTAGATGGTCCCGTGGTGTTAATCGCCTCTCGTTACCCCCTGTATACACGACGCACAGCGCAAAACATGCCCCAGTCTCAGATTCTCGCACGAGGCGAAAATCTTCTCAAAAAAGTGAAAAGGCTGCACAATGTACATCCGATTTTAGGGATAGGGTGAGAAGCCCGGTCTTGCGGGAGGGGCTCGGAGTAGACTCGCTGCTCCTCCACGTCGAGAGGAGCCAGTTGAGGTGGCTCTGGAATCTGATTAGGATGCCTCCTGGTGAGGTTTTCTGGGCACGTCCAACTGGACGGAGACCTAAAGAAAACCCAGGACATGCTGGAGCGACTATGTCCCTCATCTGGCCAGAAAACGCCATAGGATTCCCCCGGAAGAGCTGCCCCAAGGGGCTGGGGAGAGAGAGACGTCTGGGCCTCTCGACTTAGGCTGTTGCCCTCTTGACCTGACTCCCGATAAGTGGCTGAAAATGGATGGATAGATGAACAAAAGTAACATTCCAGTATCCCGCCCATCATGGAACCTGGAATTTTACGGGGTTAAAAGACGAACCGAACCGGACTCCTACTGATCAAGTTAAGGTTAAAAACAAACTTATCTCCATGTAAACGACATCCCTGTGACCAGCCTGGAAGCTCCCCTTTCGAAAGTGACGAGGCAGCAGCAGTGGCCTTCTGATGTCATCGCCACAAGACTCCGTTATTCTGACACCATCAAACAGTAGACTACCAACAACGTAGTTGTCCATGCCTTCAGCCATTGTGCATATCCTGCTTTTACTCCGCCTGCTTCTCTCCCGCCAGCCTTTGTTTATTATTTACGTTGCTATGGGCTGATTTAAAAGGGCGAACGTCTCCACCTATGCCGTGGAGTGAAACACACTTCATTCAATAATTCGATTTTCTAACATACATGTAAGCTAGGATAAAGGCTCCCACTCTTGTTAAGGTTTTAGCTCGATGCGCATGTACACACACACACACACACACACACACACACACACACACACACACACACACACACACACACACACACACACACACACACACACACACACTCTGTAGGCTTAGAGCTGAACCAGCTGCCATTTCTTGGCCTGTTATCACTGCAGTAACAGTGGTGGACGTGCAGGACTTGTCCTTTCGTTTCCACTTGTTCAGCCGACTCATTTTTAAACGCCTTTGAATCACGTTGTCCTGTTGGGACTGAGGACGGAGTCTAAAAAGAAACTCCAACCTTAACTTTGGATAACTTTAATGACAACAGCTTTGGGTCTGACAGCTGAGCAGGAAAATAATCCAGATTAGATGATCTACAGGCTACTCGGTGATCGCATGCTTCAGTGTTTACAGCGTTGGTACAAATGACTGAAGTCCTGACTAAAACTGCACTATTGCCTAAAAGACACAAAAGCAGTTGAACAACCACATTTGGCGTTGGTGGTTAAGAGTTTGACATCACATAAAAGCGAGTAAAGCCTCGTGTTCCTAAGGTGGTCAGAGGGAAGGTGAGTGGTGGCTCCTGCTGGAGAGATGTGATGAGGAGACCAACCAGGCAGGGATTGATGTGGGCGAGGTTGGGTGGGTGGGGGGTGGGGGGGTGAGCAGCAGCTGTTTCTACCTCCACCACCTGCTTCAGGCTGAGCGGCTCTGCTTTTGTCGTCTGCTAGGTTTGGCTTGCAGCAGCCTGTTGGCTTAGGAACATGTTCTTCATTGTTCTTCCTGCTAGCGGCCATTTCCATTTCCACCTGTCTGTAGATTCCCACTCAGCCTCGCTGGTTGGAGGGGTTTCCTTTGTGAATTCAACTTGATCTTTGCTCCTCTGATTTCTAACTTTCTGTGTCTTTACTCTTTCCAGCCTAATGCTAAAGCTAAGGCCCTCTGTAGCCGCACGGATATTGGTCCTAGGATGTGGATGTGACCAAGGAAACAGAATTCCTCTCCTCTTCCTCCTCCTCCCTTCCTCCTGTCCCCTCCTCCTACGAGAGTCCGCCGCTCAGCCTAGAACCTGTGGACAGTCCTCTGAAGGATTTTCTATCAACTGTTAATTCACTCCGTGATTAGAAGTTGACTGGGGGAGCATTTTGGATGGAAACATGCCACCATGTACCCCTGAGCCCGTTCCCTACCAGTACCAGCCGTGTGGCTCCCTGTCCACAACCGCTGTTGCTTCTGAATTAAACTAATGATTCGTGAATTGAACCCATGAAGTTGGCGGTTGCTGTTCTTCCATTTCTGCAGCTTCTGCCACGCAGCTCTGTGTAATTTATTGTGGATTGAATGAAGGGAGGATCTTTCTGTTCCAGATTAAACATGTGAAACCATCTGAGCTTTCTCGTGTGCCTCATTGAGTTCCAGATAACCTAGAACTTACCTGGATGGTAAGAACCTAGATTCCACTTGATCCTTCTTTACCCTGCATCTGACCCCCTAGATCTAGGTAACCTTCTCCCTGTCTTTGTTTGCATGCAGTTCCTGTCCAGCACGTTTTTATGCACTATGATCTTGCCCTCCAGGCAGTGGTGTCTATAGAAGACGTAGTTGTGTTGCTCTTTGGTCCACCAGTCAGCTGTAATGAGCCCAAACACCTGTGCAGGTCTGCTGTGGGACAGTCTGAAGTCATCCGCACCATCATTTATATCTGAACGTCCCACGGGAGGAGCCCAAAGAAGCAGAACTTGTTTTAAAACACCCTGTGCTGTGTTTTGGTGTCGTGGCTGGTCCCGGGCAGCAGCACGGATGGCCTTCACCCTTCATGGATTCACGGTTTCTTTGACCACTGTTGGTTTGTTCTGACCACAGCAGACTGGAAACCAGGGATGTGTATTTTTGAAATTCAGGCGATGCGATACATATCACGATACAGGGGAGACAATACGATATATCACGATATATTGCGATACATTCATTCAGACGTTACAAGCAATTTTTTTTACTGAATTTATTGTAAGAATGTTCAATAAACAGTCCAAACTGATACGAAACATGTTTAACATGAGGTATCTGAACCATGATGGAGGGATTTACATTTCAATGGTGGAAACAAAACCCGTTGCACACTGCTGCCAACTAGCGGGTGGCGATTGAATTGCACAAAACGAAAAGAAAATACACAAAAGTTTGCATGTAAATTCTTTCAAGAATTAGATACACGGCTTTTGAATATCGATGTAATAATCGCAGGAAAAAATATCACGATATATTGCCATATCGATATTTCCGATACACGGCTTTTGAATATCGATATAATATTGCTAGAAAAAAGATCACAATATATTGCCATATCGATATTTTATTACATCCCTACTGGAAACCAGAGCCATGATGGAGGCCGTGAGTCAGTTTTCCCTTCACCGTGTGTGGTCAGAATGTTACAGCTGATTGGTGTTGACTGGTTTTCCACACCAGAGGCGACCTGAGCCATCTGGAGGTATGTTGCTGACTTTATAGAGTGTGTCCTGGTAGTGAGGTGCAAATGAGCACGAGTCTTCTGGATGTTTCCCAGCCAAAGAACCATTGAAGTTATCTTGTAAGTTGCTTCAATGTGTCTCGCATTTGAAAAGATGCAGTCATTTCAGATGGCCAGTCCAAAGAAGTTCCTCCTTTAAAAGGATTTTGTTTGTGTGTTCCAGGTGGAGATGAAGCAGGTGTGGAGGAGGCTGCTGCTGAGGCTGAGGCTGTAGTACAGGAAGCTGCTGAGGTGGTCGCTGAAGCTGCTGAGGTGGTCGCTGAAGCTGCTGAGGTGGTCGCTGAGGTGGCACAGGAAGTGGAAGCAGTTGCACAAGACGTGGCTGAAGGTGTTGAAGAATCTGCAGAAGCAGTTGAGGAATCAGCAAAAGTTGCTGCTCAAGAGCCAGAAGGCAATGGTATGACCTCTCCCCCTGAGAAGGAAGTTACTGCTTCTGAGGCATGAGGTTCCACACATTCACTGCTGGGACACACACACACACACACACGTGCGCATCACTGTATTGCTGAGAGGACCTTAAGGTTCAGCTGTAACATGGATGGGAACATAAAGACGGGTAACTACCAGTCATTGTCTGGGTTTACCTCCATTCTCTCTCAAATGTATATTTTCCTATGTATTTATTGGTGTGTGTGTGTGTGTGTGTGTGTGTGTGTGTGTGTGTGTGTGTGTGTGTGTGTGTGTGTGTGTGTGTGTGAGATACTGAGCGAATTAATGGTTTCCTGATCTCATTGATGTTTTAGGTGTGTGAGGGCAGCATAAATCAGTCTTCTGATCCTCTGACCTACCGCAGCACGCCACACTGACATCCTAATGAGATGCTCATTTTCAGTTATGAGTCAAATAAATGTGATCACTGAACGCCATTCACACACATTAACCTTCAGACATGTGGTTAACTAACCACACGCAACCATCTGTTTTACAGGCTGGAAAACTTTGTGTTCATTTGCCATAAATCTGTCTTGTACTGCGTTTCCACCAATCACAGCGCAGGTGGACATCTGTTTATCTCTAGGGTGTGTAGTTGTGTGTCCCCAGGACGCAAAGGCTTTCAGAAGGTGTATAAACTGTCAAAGGTGCAGTGTGTAATGTACTTTTGTCGAAGAAAGCGCTAAAAAAATCAGTTTTTCTAAACTATTAAAATCTTATGTGATCATTTTTATTTAGCTAATAACTGTTTAATGAGCACTGTGAATGGTTACCATTAACACAACAATAAAGCATTTGTAAAACTGGAAAGATTTACTGCCATCTTTGAAAAATCACAATTGGTGCTTTTCAACCTTGCATCTGGTCCTCTGGTTTTTATTCCACTGGCGGGAGATGGTTTCAGAGGGTTTAGGCACGTTTACTGGCATGCCACTCACACGACTAACTGTTGCTCTTTCCACGGATGACTGGTTGCACTGGACGTGCCGTTTGGGTGTCCAGAAAACATACTGCAGCAGCACTAAAGAGATAACATAGGACTAAACAGGAAGTCACACATGTTCTGTTAAGGAAATTTCAAAATAAGACTAAATTCAGGTTTGTGAATCCTTAACTATGTAAATGCTACAACTTGACCAGTGACCCGAGGGCTCATTTGCTCCCTGCATCTTTTGAGGAGAGCAAAGACGTTTTCCAGCGTGGACCTTGTATATGACATCACACTTCCACTTTACAAACGACACCAAAAAGGAGAAGGCATTGGGGTGAAATATCAACAATTATCAGAGTAAATGGTGAGTTCAAAAGATTTGCTTAAAAAAGATGCTGTTTTCGCATACACCAGTTTACCCGCGATCTCGTGAGAGGACTACGGAGTAGCCGCTTTGTGTGACGAGTGACGCACTGCACAGCATGAAACCGTAACGTGCCACGGACACACACCGAGTGTAAACCGGGGATAGAATAACTGACAGTGAGGACCTCCCATGTCAGGACATCAGCATTATGACATTCACCCAATCATGGCTAGTGTTCTAGGATAAAAGTTCCTGAGGGTTACATGGAGAAGTCAACCCCTAGACACCTTATTGTGAATATTTCCCTTTACATTTATTCATTCAGTAGGGACTGTGCACATTAAGGAACATTTACTGAAGTATATGTAAATATACCAGATTATAGTGCTGAAGCTCATTTAAATATGCAGTCCAGGAACACATCAAGGACATGAAGCACATGGTTTTCTTCCAGCCAACGTTTGAGTTGACTTTTGAAGGCTTTTAATGTTGAGCACGCCCTTATAGGTACTCGGCCATGTAACACCTTATATATCAGAAAAGCCACTTAAGAATTTAAAAAATTTAAATTCTTCATAGCTTAAAATGTTTTTCTAAGTCAAAATATAAAATACCTTTGGAGACGTTATAGAGATGGTCTGATTTCAGTGACCAACATGTGACACTTATGTGAGACGGAGGTACTGAATGTAAAAAGGGTTTAGCAGCACCAGATGAAAGGTTGCATTTGGTAAGTTGGGTACATTGAATTTCACGGCATTAAATATTCTCTTAATGTGGCCCTTGATGCTTGTGTCGAGTCACAATAGTCTAGTTCTTCTGTCAGACTTAAAAGTATATTAGAAGTACTTGAAGACTGAAGTACTTAATCGGTGTGTAACAACTGTATCATAATACTTCATTTTCTGTTCTATTATTACGCTTGTGTACACTTCCATTTAGTTTCAGTACATTTTATAAATAAGCAAAAATTGATAGTTTTGTCTTAAGCTGCCTTTTTGCCTCAGCTTCAAAGACAAATGATTAAAAACATTGAGCTGTAGTGACCTGGATGGCTGGGTTTTGTGTTACAGTGATGCGGACTGCCGATTCTGCAGTAGAAGTAATGAAGATAGCTGAAGTAAAGGAAGAGCTCCCAACAGCAGAGGAAAAGCCCATAGAAGACATGACTCCAGATATTCCTAATGTTCCAGCAGCAGTAGAAACTACTCTAGAGGCTACACAAGTGGAAGTTCTTTTAAAGGTCCCTGTTCAAGTGGCTGAGGATGGTTCACCATTGGTTGTTGAGGAGGCACAAGTAGATGTAGTATCAGAAGAGCTACCTGTGCAAGTAGACACAATTAAACCTTTTGAGGAAGCTCCTGCAGCAGTAGGGATAGCCATTTTACAGGAGACCCCTGCATTCATAAAAGATGTATCAGCTGCTGAGGACACACCTGTGTTAGTGGAGGTTGCATCAGTTGTTGAGACTATGGCACCTGTGGAGGTTGCATCAGTTGTTGAGGAGATCCCTGCACCAGTGGAGGTTGTATTAGTAGTTGAGGAAACTCCTGCACCAGTGGAGATTGTACCAGTTGTTGAGGAGATCCCCGCACCAGTGGAGGTTGTATTAGTAGTTGAGGAGATCCTCGCACCAGTAGAGATTGTACCAGTTGTTGAGGAGATCCCCGCACCAGTGGAGATTGTACCAGTTGTTGAGATCCCTGCACCAGTGGAGGATGTATTAGTAGCTGAGGAAACTCCTGCACCAGTGGAGGTTGTACCAGTTGTTGAGGATACTCCTGGACCAGTAGAGGTTGTACCAGTTGTTGAGGATACTCCTGGACCAGTAGAGGTTGTACCAGTTGTTGAGGAGGCTCCTACACCAGTGGAGGTTGAACCAGTTGTTGAGACTCCTGGACCAGTAGAGGTTTCCCCCATTGCTGTGGTGGCCATGCCACTAATAGAAGAAACCACAGGACCACTGGTTGCAGGGATTGTGGCACAAGACAAGTTTGATTCTGCTAAAGTTGAGGAACAAGTTAAAGTCGAGTTTGTAGCGGTCTCTTCTGTTGCCAGCATTTCAGACCAAGCAGATGCTTGTACTTTGAAGACCCAGTCAGAAGATGCCCACAAAGAGTACATTGTTGTTGTTCTGGAAGGAACACCTAAAGAGGAAAAAAGGCCCAAGGTTCTGGGAGTTGGTCCCTTGACTGGTAGAATCATCCCAGCCCAAGAAGATGCCCCTGCCTCTGAGGTACAGGACCAGACTTTTCAGATCTCAAAGTAGTTTAAGGTGTAGAATACATGGCAGCATAATGTTTTTCCAGTGTAGTTCCAGTTTTCAAAAAGGCCGTTAAAAAGCTCAAGAAAGTATTAAATCCAGCCTTTTCTTTCATACGAGTGTATTGTGGGCTGCAGAAAAACTGTCTAACGTGGCTTTTGAAACTTTTGCTACTCAGGTTAAGCGACACCTTATTAAGATGCAAATGCAGTAGTCACAACAAAGGTATTGCGTCTCTAATTGTACAAACATTAATACCCTTCATAACTTTCAGGTTAAAAGACTAGCTAGGGTAGAAAAGATGATCATTTTAAAATGTGTTCTCAAGACAACATGGTACAACACTAATCACCTTTATCCTTTCTTTATATCTATTACAGTAAGCGTCTCATGAATGATGACTGTCCTCCAGTACAAGAGGATGTGCCTTTCTTCAATACTTCCATTCTGTAACTTTGACATGCAAAAGGAGTCTTGGTTAGCTTTATTGTGTTTAGTACGACTGTTTTACTGAGCCATGATTAGAACAAAGAGGCTGTGACCCAAAAGTCCCAGGTGAGTCCAGTAAGATGTCTGCCTCTCTTTTTGTGTAGAGGGACATAGAACTGCAGTCAGTTTACAGCTTTTGATAAAACTGAGCCAGTCTGTTAACTTTATTTTTACTGTTACAGTTTACGATCTCAAAGATCACTCCAGTGAAACAGTTGAAATCATCAGATTTTAGACCAAATCAAACTGCCCAGTCTGGTGTTGGCTAGCGTGTTACCAGTCACCAGCAGTTAGTCAAACTAACTAACCTCAGGTTTTCCTCTGTTGCTCCTAGTGTGCTGGAACGCTTGATGTACCTAATCTTTTTACATGTAAACCAGGAGTGGGGAACCCTGGTCCTCGAGGGCCGGTGTCTTGCATGTCTTTGCTCCAACACTTCTGATTCAGTGGTTTATTCACCTGTTCTGCAGCTCATTAACCTCTGCAGAAGCCTGTTAATCACCTGCTGATTGAAATCAGGTGTGATGATGCAGGGTTGAAACTAAAATATGCTGGATAGCGGCCCTCGATGGACCAGGGTTCCCCACCCCTGATGTAAACACTTGTAGCATGCTGGATAAAGAGCCCATGAACTTATCTTTCTACCTCAGCCTTTCGAAGTTGTCAACCCTTAAAGATTTTCAAATACGAGTGTCCTACGCTACTCTACTGGTTACGTTTGCTGGCTGACCAAGACCAGTAAAACTTATCTAAGGGTTCTGTTCTTGCATTGAGAGTACCCGTGCTGAAAATACACTTTAGAGACGATCATTGAGTTAAAAGTGCTAAACTCCTCCTGCTCCATCCCTGTTTTGGTCTACACCCTTCATTTTCCATAAGCTATTGATCTGGATATTCCGGTTTTTCCGTGTCTTTGTACTCCTGCTAACTCCGTTTAAAACTGTTGTAGAACAACGTCTGTACCAGCTTGGTGATATTAAGATGTTCATTTTCCAGACAGTGTTAACACTGAAATAGTTTCTAGTTCTGTTTCCATATGCAATGTTACTGACTAAAGAACAACCTGGTGAGGGACATTTATCTATATGTGATTGTTGTAATTTGTATTGGAAAGGTAAGGGAAAGGCTTGGCATCTCAAAGATGAACTAACGTAGCATCATTAAAGGCATGCAAATGGTTTGTGAAGAGGACTGGAACTAGAAGGACAACCCTTCCATGTCAATGCAATACACCCAGAGGTCGGGCATTTATTATAATAGTCAATGCAATCGACAATGACTAAAGGTTTAGGTTTTGAAATCGTTGAATATCCTACTCGGCGCTGGCTTGAATCAGCGTTCAGATGGGCTTGCTTATCTCCAAAGTCATTCTCGGGCTGGAACGTGTACGGTTAGGTCTGATATTCTTTCTGCTCGTCTGAATTGTGTTCCAGGTAAGAAAAGTCCGATAGATTAGCAGAGGCTACATCTGACTCTGATGAAACGCCACCTGCCGTAATATAAATACACAAAAACCAGTGTTGTGGATTGTTTACTATAGTTTCTTCACTAAGGAGATTCCCTCTGGTGATGCAAGTGGCGAGGTAGTGTTAAGACCAGGAACAGTATTTTATTTGTTTTGCTGTGCTATTTAAAACATATTTAATGCAAAATTCTACCATGGAAATCCAAACATACTTTCTTAAATGTTTTACTCATGCTCACAGGAAATATACCTCTGGCCAGTAGCTTTAAAACTGCACGTTTAGGTGTAGTTCTTTGACATGTTGTGGTAAAAATATCTTTGATTGGGGTAATTAGTTGGTGGTATCGTTGTTTTCTGTCCTTTCATGTTTGTTTTCTTTTCCTCTAGCTGTCAGGTGTGTTTATTGATGTGTACTTACAAATGCTTTCAGCACAAACAGGAGTTACAGACATGTGTTTGTGACTTTCTCTTCTTTCAAACTTTCCACCTGCCTGTAACTCTTCTGTTTTAAAAGCTCACGTGGAATCGTTGAGGGTGTAAACGAGTTGAGATTTGGACATTACACTGGGCTCATAGGCTGGTGTTGGTCCTAGCACATTATTGGAAGCTAGTAATTTAGTAAAAGATCAATACTGTGGCACATTTTGTTCTGCAAAATAAAGAGGAATTAAATCTGAATTGCATTTGTTGTACTTTTTAAAATCATGACCAAATCATCAAGACCAAAGCAACTGGTAAAGCCTGCAAATATATCATGAAGCACGCAAAACATTTGAATGGATCAGAGCGTAATCCGTAAACGTACATGTATAATTCAGCGTTCTTCACAGCAGATTCTGAATTGAAAGCACAGATGTGACAGCTGCATGTTCATCTGTAAAATTCCTAAGGGGCAAAAATGTCTGCCCTGAAATAAAATATGATTTCTTAAATTATCAGCTCATGTAGTTTTTATCAAACATTTAATTCCTTGCTGCATATATGCTGGCTTCATGACCTGTGGTTCAACACCTTGATGTCCATAAACAACAGTCAAAAAAGCAGTAAAATTTACTGTTAGAATGTTGAGATAAAACCAACACCAGACAAAATAATCTAAACATTTTCTTAACCAGTGATGAAGATGAGAGCAAGGCAAATAAAAGATGTATAGGGAGTCTATGTCACACCCATCTACTGCAGTTCATTTGTCCTACTGCCCAAAAAAACGAATAGGAGTCTGAGTCACTAAAAATGCCATGGATTCAACATATGATATCCGAGAGTTTTAAAGATATGCTTTGATGCCAATAAAGCGCATATTTTCATCAGGCGGCAAAAGTTATTTTAGGCATTGTATGAAAAGACGCGGAGGACTGCAACTGCTCGTCTCACTCAAAAGACGCCATAATTGTTTTAGTATGTATGTGTGGATTAAAGAAGATGAATATATGATTTGTGAGAACACGAATGTGATTTTTTAAGGGGGTGGGTAGGGTCTTTTTTGAAAGGGTCCAACTGTTTTCCATGGATGGCCAAGGCCCCCACTGGCCACCTCTTGGGAGCGCCACTGCCTACGTACTGGTGACGTCGCGGCCCGCTGGATCATTTGTAGCAAAGAGGCGGCACACCGGAAAGCTAACGGACAGCAACAAACCTCCCATGATCCGAACTTGATTCGGCGGCCCGTGTGTACCTGGCGCTCTGCTGAGGGGAGCTCAGGACCAGGATCCCGGTCTGCAAAGTGGCATCTGTGGCGGAGAGTTCTTAAACACGCGTTAATGTAAGCGGGGAGCCTTTTAGTCGGGGATCGGGCCTAGCGGACGTTAGCGGCGGAGCTACTTTTCACGAGCAAAATCAAAACAAGGTGAGTGGAGGAAACTTAATGCATGAAGGATCAGTGGACTGAGTTACATCTGCAGCTCCCAGCCTCACCTGCTTCACCCGCTGGGGATGCTGGGAGCTGTTCTACCGGAGACCTGCTGTATTATTGGTGCTATTAGCTTTGATGCTAATCTGGTCTTAAGTTCTGAAGCCAGACAGGACTTTAAAAGTGTTTATTTACGGAAAACTGCCACGCTAAAACACCAGAGAGCCTCGCGTGGTGTAATGAATGTACTCTCCACCGTGAAGCCCTGAAGGCGGCTTTGTGAGCGGCAGGAGCTGCTCTCTGAAGAAGTTAGCTGGTTGAGCTAACTGGTTAGCCTCGGAGTTTTGGGACTGCGGCTTGTTTACATCGCGCAAAACAACACGATGAAGGGCCGGCGAGTCCAGCCTGGAGCTCCGTAGACTCCGTGGTGGACTGGAGCTAGTCCGAGCAGTCTGAGCTACATGAGTAGCATCTATGCAGCGGGAGAAACTCTGAGAAAGTTTAAAAGTAGTTTCTGTGACAGCCGGATAGATCCCAGCAGCTCCTAGCCTCAGAGCAATGCTCCTGGGGGTGACGCTGGATGTGACGGACGGTAGTTATCACTCACACCCGCTCTTCTGTAGCAGGATGTAGTTCCGATGTAATGACAACGTTGTCGGGGTGAGTGAGGCATTGCTGAGGGCAGCGATGTGATGTTCTGATAAATAATACCGCTGTAGGGCGTACACGTGACCCTAGCCCTGGCACACACGTTAAAAGGCGTTCTGCTCACCTGTTGCTTCTGTTCTGGTAGGAATGAGTGATGACCTCTGTGGTGGTGTCAGACGGAGGAGGAAACATCGTGGAGTATGTCACTGTGGTGGAGGAGTCCCAGCAGGTACGCTGTTCACACCAACAACCCAGCTGATCTTCACTACTGACTCAGAAAAGACTGACAGACGGTCTGAACGTGAATGCAGCTAATGCTTCACGTTGCCATCTTAAGATTGTTCACACAGTCACGTGACTCTAAAGTCCCCCATGTGTTGTTTTGTAAACAACGTTCTGGTGCTGAAGATGAAAGTTATCCCAGCAACAAGCAGCAGTCACTTCCTGGTTGTTTTTAACGGTTCTGCAATCACAGTGAGATTCTGCCTGCACTAAAAAACAACAACTGGTTGTGTTTTGGGTGGGTGGGTGCGTCAGAGTATCCCCAGCCAGACCACAAGTGTCCAGCTCGGTGTCAAGAAGGTCTCATCTGAAGATGTGATCCTCTTAGCTCCAGCAGACAGTGACCTCCAGCTCTGACTGGGTGGGTGAGGTGCATCGACATTAATATAGGTTAGGTGTTGGGGACAAAGCACGTTTAAATCTGCAGCCATAGTTCTTGACTGGGGGGGGGGGGGGGTTGACAGGCGGCTCTGAGTGGCATAGTTGTCGTCTGAGCCTGTGATGGAGCGTCCGGCCCTGACCCGCGGCCATCACACATCTACAACGCCGAGGGGTGAGTGTAAGGATACTGGCATTCGGGTCTCCCAGTGCAGTCTGGGATTTGTAGTTTTCCTGGTTTGTGTGCACCTGCAGCCCACTATTGCATATATGGATGGGTAATTTAGATTTATTCTTGGATGAGGGTTTGGGGACCCCTAGCGGCTGGTGGGAACATGTGCATGTTCACCGTCTACAGGAACCAAGTTTAGTTTGTATCTTAAACAAAAATAGAAACCTGTTCTCACATTGGAGTGGGCTCCGTCTTATCCCAGTGGAGCATCAGGCCCCAGTAGCAGGCAGGATGTTTGTCTCAATGGCCAGTTAGTTATTTCCCATCTTCTGCTAAATAAATTGTGTGTTTTTGACAATGTTAAGAATCTGAGACCAGCATACAAATGTGATTTTTTTTTTGGCCAGGCTGGTTTCTGGGCTGGGTGGGGTTCATTATTAGATAACTGATTAACTACCACAGTAATGGATCGATCAGACTTCTGGATCAACACTTATTTCCTCCAACCTCATGATCTTACTGCCTGTTACCTCTGGTCATAATCAGATGAGCAGGACATGTTTGTCCTAGCCAAGCTGAGAGAAGGCGTGTGATCCTCCGGCTAACGCGGGTTGCCAGACGCCTTGGTGGCATCCATTGTTGGTGTGTCCTTCAGATGGAAACAATCTGCTGCTTCTGTGTGTTTAATGGCATTTATTTCTCATGTTTACAGCAGCTCTCTGAGGAGGAGGAGCAGGAGGTCGTCCAGCAGGATGTGGAGGCTGTGATCATAGAGGAGGTGGAGGAGGAGGAGGAGGAGGAAGAAGAAGAAGGAGTGATTCTACAGGAGGAGGACTGCCCAGCGGTCATCGTGGAGGAGGTCTCCAGTGCACAGGTGGAGGAGTGCTACTCGGCTCAGGTCCTGGTGTATGATGACGGGACGTACCTGATGCAGGACGTGGCTGAGGAGCAGGAGGTGGTCACAGAGGTGGCGGAGACCGGTGAGCTCCACTTAACAGGCTGTTGCATTCTGGGTGATGATAAAACCAAGAGATCTTTTTCCTTTTTGGAAAAAGAAAACCTTGTTTTAGGCACCGCCGTTTGTTCATCAAACGTTTCTGTGGCTCAGCACAGAGGACCCGGAGGACAGGTCCGGTCTTACCGCCCATCAGTAATTGTGTCCTGATGTTTTCTCTGTTCCTCAGTGGAGATGTCGGCTCATGACATGGTGTGTTTGGACAAAACCTTTGAGGCGGCTGAAGCTCTCCTCCACATGGACTCTCCCGGCGGACTGCACAGTGAACGCGCCACAGGTACGCGTGCAGCCACCCGAACCTGCTCAGGTTTGATGTATTCAACGTCCAGTTCCAGCCCATCACAGGGACACACGGAGACAGTCGCGCCTGACGGCAGCCTCTGACACTGTTGACCCTCGCCTGCCACGGGATAGGCTGAGAGCTCGGCTGGACCGGGACAAAAAAATCAGCCCGGGCGTTTTGAGCTGAGACCGGTCCACCAGCTCTCTAATCCTGGTCCTTGATATTCCATATTCATCTTGTTTTAGTCGTTTCCCTGCTCCAGTACAAAAATGTATATATATATATTTTTTTTGCTTAATGCAGCAAAACTGCAACTGACCATGAAAAACCTCTGAAATCTAGCTGCTTGTTTTAGGTGAAGTAAAGAAAACAGTAAAGCCGAATATAAAATTAGATCACACACACAGCAGCCTTTCTGTGGTTCTGAGTGTGTCCGGTCCGGTTTGTCCACCTGAACTGGACTCAGAACCGCTGCAGTAACTGGTTTTCAGCATGATGAATGTTTAAAAAAATAATCCAAGAAAGTACTAGGTAGCACACCGCCAGCTCAGCCTTTTCTTGTCTGAACGTTAGCGCTGAACTCGAGGCTATTAAGCTCTACCCCACTAAAAAGTTAGCCTGTCTACAGTCACCGGTGATGACGTTTATGATGAAACTGACTGAACAGGTTGCTTTGTTTTGTAAATGTTGGAAATAAAAATAAATTATTATTCATTCTAACTGACAACAAATGCAATATTTTCGTTAAGAGAAATGCAAAAAGCTTAGAAAATTGAAGGATGACATTTATAAACTAGCTTCAGTTTGATGAAGAGCTTGCACCATGACAGAGATTGAGTTGGCTGATATAAACATCAGGATTATGGTTTGATAGAAATGCTGCGTTTGAAGCTGTATCGTTATTAATAATACACATTTTACATGCTTGTATTCAACGCGTTATCAAACATTTATGATCCCGTCTACAACAACAACAAAAAAAAAAGACAGACTGGGCCAGCCCAAAACGAATAACAAATTGCTGGATCTAAATAATTTCATTAACTACTGTTTGCCCATCCCAAAATTACCGTCGGTCACTGTGCCCAACAGCCAGTACAGCCCTGGTTGAGAGACTGGATAGGCCTATCAGAATCTGCTCTGGTATGGTTCTCTTATCTGAGCGTTCCTTCTCTGTGGCTATCCAAGTTTAGGTCCTCCACCACCTCCCTCAACCATGGTGTCCCACAAGGCTCTGTGCTGGGGCCTCTACTCTTCCTTTATCTGCATCGCATCCTGAGCTCCTTTAAAGGAATCTCCTACCATCTTTACGCAGATGACATCCAACTGTACATCTCCTTTAAGCCCCATGAGATGTCTAAGCTGCAGCTGTTACACACCTGCTTAGACTCTATCAAAACCTGGATGGCTGGGAGCTTTCTTCAGCTGAATGAAGATAAGACTGAGATCCTCATCTGTGCCCCAGACAAGCTGGTTCCCAAAGTCAGAGACTTTCTTGGTCAGCTTGCTTCTCACACCAAACCTTCCATCAGGAATCTTGGTGTGACCGTTGACCCACGCTTTTTCTACTGTAACTCTCTTTTCACATGTCTGAGCAGAACCTCCCTGAACCGTCTACAGGTGGTTCAGAACGCCTGTGTTCGGCTTCTGACCAAGTCCTCCAAACACACCCACATCACCCCGCTTCTCCTCCAGCTTCACTGGCTGCCAGTCAACTTCAGGGTTCATTACAAGATTCTGGTTCTGGTCTATAGGGCCTTACATGGACAAGCACCATCTTACATTGGTGATCTTCTCAGTCCCTACACCCCCAGCAGGTCCCTGAGGTCCAGTGACCAAAGCCTACTGGTTGTGCAGCACCAGGCTAAAGACCAAAGGTGACAGATCATTTGCTGCTGTGGCCCCCAGACTCTGGAACTCTCTCCCCCTGAGCCTGAGATCAGTGGACTCAGAAGCGTTGCATAATGTCTGAAGCGTAGTATGCAGCAATTAGCCGCCATAGTGGGTGGGTGGGTTTTTGGACGTGTCCCAGAAAGCTAGGGAGGTGTTGTCTGCTAAACTTATGCTTCTAGTTTAGATTTATGCACTATGCTTTCAGAACACGCTAGACCAGACAGGAAGTCAAAGATGTAAGCAGTGTAAAACACCTGGAAACGTTCAAAATGCAGATTCCCATTTGCTTAACTAGTCCGTCCTCTCCTGACGGTGTACATGCTGTGTGTCTTCTTGGTCCAGCTGAGGACGTGATGATGGAGACGGTGGTGGAAGTGTCCACTGAGTGTGTGTCCTTGGAGGAGGAGTCCTTCCCCATCCCTCCTGACTGTGAGCCTGCTGCCAAGAAGAAAAGAGGAGGTGTGTGTGTGTGTGTGTGTGTGTGTGTGTGTGTGTGCGCGCGTGTGTGCGTGCGTGTGTGAGGGAGTGAAGTGGCTTTACAAGTTCTGTAAATAACTGCTGAACCAGCTTGTCCCAAATGACGAAAGCCCCAACAATGAGCTGACCTGTAGGGGGCGTGGGTTAGACGTCTGATTGTGTGTGTGTGTGCGCACATGCGCAGGTGGACGTAAGCCCAGGACCCCCCAGCCTGCCTCTAATGGATCCTATGATCTGGGGATGAAGAAGAGACCAAGGGAGGGAAAGGGTCAGTACTCTGTTCTGGTTTCCTGTCTGTCTGTCCTCATCTCACCTGTCTGCCCACTAAAAGTGTCCCCCTGTCCTACAGGAAACACCACCTACCTGTGGGAGTTCCTGTTGGAGCTGCTGCAGGATAAAAACACCTGTCCCAGGTACATCAAGTGGATGCAGAGGGAGAAGGGCATCTTCAAGCTGGTGGACTCCAAGGCCGTGTCCAGGCTGTGGGGCAAACACAAGAACAAGCCAGACATGAACTATGAGACCATGGGCCGGGCCCTGAGGTCAGTTCAGGGTCTTAGAGCATAAGTCTGAACCAAGACCTGCTAAAACACGTAAGGTGTGAAGGTTTCTTCTCTGAAAGCTGCTGTGATGTTCTCTCCTGTGGCTGCAGGTATTACTATCAGCGGGGCATCCTGGCCAAGGTGGAGGGGCAGCGCCTCGCTTATCAGTTCAAAGACATGCCCAAAAACATCCGAGTGATCGATGACGAGGAGGACGGGGAGGAGGTGGAGGAGAGGGAGCAGCTGGCCCACCAGCAGGGGTCTGCCGGCCTTGGTGCTCACTCGTCCACCACCAGCCAGCCTCAGCAGACCTACGTCACGGTGATCCCCAACAGCTCTGCCACCAGGTCAGTGTTGGGAGCTGGTCCTGGGTCCAAACGCACATCATGAATTTGAACCTTGAAGATGGAGTTGACGTTTATGGTTCAGCCAAAGCAAGACTGCTGATTGGTGCTGCTGGTGGGATGAAGAGGAAGATGGTCATTAGAACATCAGTAGATGTTTGTTGATGTTGACGACGCCATGTTGGTAAACATCAGAGTGATTTTTCTTTCTGTTTTCTCCTGTAGACCCATCCGAGCCATGCCGGTGGTCATGGCCAGCTCTCTTGGCCAGGTGACGTTAAACTCCTCCCCCATCCTCACCACCACCACGGGGGTCCCAGTGACGGTGACTAACCCCTCCACCAGCACTCCGCCCAAGCTGGTCATCCAGGCTTTGCCCACAATGTTGCCGGCCAGCTCCAAAGCCGGAGAGAAGATCACCATCATCACCATCCCGGCCAACCAGCTCGCCACGCTCATGCAGACTAACCCCACTGGCCAAGTCACGCAGGTCCTTCAGGCTAAAGCGGTCCAAACGTCGCTGGCCCGGGCCTCCTCCACCCCAACCATCCACCTGGCAGCAGGACGCCCAACCCCCCAGCTCATTCTAGCCAAACCTGCTGCAGTGGCCCAGACCTTGCCCCAGCTCTCGGTGCGGGTGAGCCAGCCTCTCAGCAGCCCCCCTCAGCCCCCCCAGCCTGAAGCAGAACTGGTACAGGTAAAGGCGGAGCCTCTGTCCCCCCACAGGCTGTCGTTGTCCTGAGAGCCTTGGCTGGACCAGACAGTGAAGAAGCGGGGACAAGAAATGACTGTGGACACTGCTTAGGAAGTGCAGGACACCCGCCCCCCCTCCCCACAGCAGAGATGCTTCCTGATTGGCTGAAACTATCAGCCAGACTCTGGTCCAGGAAGGCACCTGCTGTCACTGTAGAGCTTCTGAAGACCTGCAGTGGATCAAGGACACACGCGCACACACCACACACACACACACACACCACACACACACGCACACACACACACACACACACACACACACACACACACACAGCCTTACATTTGGTCCTTATTTTAATGGAAGCTCATCAAAAGCCGCACTAGACAAAGATGTAAAGAGAAATGTAAAAAGTGATTTTTGATACTCAGCAGGTGTGTATCAGTACCGATGTTTGTCCCCTAGAGTGGGCGTGGCCCCGGTCCAACAGCGGTCCCATCCCACCGGCTGACACTATGCAAAGTTCTACGGTCGGGTCTGGTCCACAGAACCACCGCGCTCTGTTAGAGGAGGCAGAAACTAACGACAGAATTCTAAAACTTATCAGATCAGCTGCTGAGGACGAGTCATGTGGGGCGTGATCCTAGCCCCGCCCGGTTTTGGACCTGAGGCCACGCCCAGTGCTGTCACTTCTCCTGTTTGTTTTTTACTGTTCCTTCGCCAGAGCTGGCACCAAGAACCAAGTGGAGCGGCTCGCGTTTGAAGTATCATTCACACGTTTCTTTCTTGTACTATCAGTATAATGTTCTAGATTTTACTGAAACATGTATCATAAAAATGTAAAGTCAAACAGTGGTTTCATTTGCTCAACTTGAGTTGTCAGCCACAGAAACAGCATATTTGATCATTTACGTATTGATCACTGAAAGATGGCCAAGCAGTCAAGAGACCACCTCCGATCATCAAACTGATCTAAGTGAGTAAAAATCAGCCGAAGACAGCTCACAGGTTAGAAAGGAAGATGGAGGAATCTAAAATACTGAGTCTTAAAGAGCTGAAAGGTGGCGACCTATCTCCATGTCATCAAACCACTTCTGATCTTGCAGCAGGGCTCCTCCACTCTTGTTTAAGGGCCGGAGGCGCTTCTAAAATAAAGTTCAAGTATTGTATCTTAGTTTATATTTAAATGGCTTTGTTTTCCATCTAAACTGTTTTAATTGTAGTTTTAATAATACAATAATTTAATTTACTACTGTTTGCCCATCCCAAAATTACCGTCGGTCGCCGTGCCCGCGAGGTCAAATTGTGAAGAGAGAGCTGAGCCAGAAGGTCCATGTGGCAGGGGTCAGGTGGTGCTCACTCCTCACCCCTGCCACAGGGACCTCAAGGGATGAACCATCAATCCTCCTCAATGGTCAACTTTCATCGCGGGGTCACACCCATTAGGACAGTGGGAGGGTTAATGTGTTTGAAGAATGGAAACAAATATATTTGGGACATGAAAGGCTGCTAAACATCAAAGTCCGCAAATTTGGGGGTGTTGGGGCACAAAGGTCTGGCGGCCAGATGTGGCCTGTGGGCCGCCAGTTGAGGTTCACCGTCTTAAAGTATCAGGATTAGTACCTTCGTCAGGAATCTGCCACGTCCATATTGCTCTGGTTGGACGTGCCCGGAAAACCTCACCAGGAGGCATCCTAATCAGAATTACTTCAACAGGCTCCTCTCAATGTGGAGGAGCAGTGGTTCTACTCTGAGCCCCTACCAGATGCTTCTCTCTCATCTCTAAGGGAGAGCCCAGCCACCCTGCAGAGAAAACTCATTTCGGCTGCTTGTATCTGTGATCTCATTCTTTTGGTCACTACCCAAAGCTCGTGACCATAGATGAGGGTAGGAACGTAGATCAACCAGTAAATCGAGTGCTTCACCTGGCTCAGCTCTCTCTTCACGACAGACCGGTACAACGCAGCACCAATACACCTGATTCATCTTCCCCTCACACATGAACAAGACCCCGAGGTACTTAAACTCCTTCTGAGGCAGGACCTCATCCCTGACCCGGGAGAAGGACTTCTACCCTTTTCTGACTCAGAACCGTGGTATAATAACGCTTTGCCAAAGTGTCACTTCCTCTTGAACTTTCACACATTTTGACACCTACAAGCACCAACATACAAGCTCATATTGTCACCTCATCGGGATGGAACGGACACACGGTTTTCAGACTTTTAATCTAATAAAAATCTGCATTTGTACTTTAAAGGGTTGATGTGAAACAAATGACGCCTGATCATTTATCTAAACAAGAAAATACTTTTCTCCATTCTTCACTTACCTTTTGTGCTTTATTCACTTGTTGGTGCATTTTGCTTCAAAATCTTTCAAAACATTCAGCTCATTTGGACAGTTTTGCTTAGTTTCAGCTTCAGTTTAGCTACTCAGCATTCAAACAGCGTTTCTGCAAGAAATGCAATTTATCTAGCAAGTCACCCGCAAATCAACTTCTTATACACTAGTGTCTAATCGTGCTGCAGACACATGTAGTCAATAATGTGGGACTTTAGTGCATCTTTGTTAACTCATTCACTGCCACGCCTTTTTACTGTGTGGGTGTCGGAACGCGCCCCCGCACCGTGAGAACAAACATCTCAGCTCTAAAGCCAATCTTCATCTGCGTACGTCACGTGATCAGGAAGCAGAAAATCCATGTGTTAGGAAATCGTTTGGGCCGCTGCTGTAAAAACAAGGGAGGCGCAAACCGAAAAATCATCTGCCGATCACCAACAACGGATTGTAAAAGAACGGCTAGCGCTCGAAACGTGCGGATTCTTCCTGATGTGAGAGGTGAGTCTCCGCTTTAGCACACAACGTTCTGTGACTTAAAAAAAGCAGTAAAAACGGTGAGAAACGCTGGCAGCGAACGGCTTTACCAATCAGGAAACGGCTGGCAGTGAATGAGTTCAAATTTAAATATTCCACCTAAAACTGTCAGTGTTGCGCCCTCTTCAGATAAAAATTCTGCACTGTATTTGAATTTAAATCTGCCATCACTATTGGCCAAGAGGTACTGTATGATGTCAGCTGATAACATAGGATGCCAATGTTGTTGTGAGCCTGTGTGTGTTCCGCCCTCAGTCTGTCAGCATTGTTTGTTGCATTTTTCAAACAGGAAGTGGGAGTGGAGTAAGGCTGTGGTAGGGCTCGACTTGCTCTTTAAGTAAACCCCCTACATCAGATATTTCAGTCGAGTATTAAATAAAAATTAGCAGTGACTCATAAATGAACTGCAGGCTGGCAGTTGGTATGGAGGCCAAAGAAGAACAACAGAGTGAAAAGTCTCACTTTATTAACATTTCTATATTAATGTCATAGCAATGCCAACATTAAAAACAAAAACTTTGGAACCGTCATTGAACCTTAATTAAACCCTCAGAAGAATAAAAGTATAATTTATGATCCTATAATGATCTAAGGAGCAAACTGAGAGAACAATGACCGCCATCAGCTTCCTGTTTACCAGCAATCTGATGCTAGTTTGAAGAAAACGTCACTTAACACCAAGGCATCCTGGGATATTTGGCATGAAGTCAGGCATGCCGTCTAGATGCTCCTGGATCCGCTCTACTGCTGTTAGATGTTTCTACTCAGTGTGAAGAGCTCCAGGTCCTCTAAGTGGCCGTCTACATCAGCCTATGAGGCTCTTCTCTAAAGCTGATGTCACACAGCAGTGATAGGTGGTCAGACGGGTAGTGGTACGAGGGGAGGCGGCCTGGACCGATCTGCTCCTCTGTAGGAATGTCCAGGAGCTTCTCCACACTCAAAGCACCATGGGTATACCAAATGTAGTCCAGCGTACCGCAGCTCTCTCCGGAGGGGCGGATCTTCCACGTGGTGTAGGCCGGCTCCGACTGTCCATCTGAGCTCAGCAGCCTGTAGGCTGAGGTCAGGCCTAAAGGGGAGGAGCTGAAGCGCCTGTACACGTCCTCAGAGGGCTCAGCGTTGAAGTCCCCACACACAACTACAGGGATGGTGTTTGGAACGTCCTGGTTCTGGTTGGGACCTTGTGATGTAATGTCTCGCAGGCTTTGCAGCAGGTCAGCACCTTGAGCACTCCTCAGTCTTTCCCAGCCACTACGAGCTTTCAGATGTGTGACTGCGACACACAACCACCTTCCTGTCATCTGGCACCTGAAGGTCTGGACAATGGCCACCTGGTTGGTGGGGAGCATCATGGCGGAGAGCCGTAGGTGAGCTGTGGTCAAGAGATTAAAGCGTGACTGGCGGTAAAACAAAGCACATCCATCTGGACCGTTGTTCTGCTCAACGTCCAGACAAGGGGACCAGGGTTTGGCCAGGAAGCTGCCACAGTAACCTAAGCTCGCCATGATGGGCTGGAACGTGTCATAATAGTGGTCCACTTCCTGCAGACAGAGGATGTCAGGACGGTAGGTCAGGATTTCCTCCAGGATCAGGTACTTCCGCTCATTCCAGTTGAGAGCTTCTAGAGGACAGCAGATAAACCGGTCCTTCCCCTCACCAAGAGCTACACACACACACACACACACACACACACACACGTTAGTAGTGCAGTGAACCTCTCATCACTCACCGGTGTTGCACGGGGACCTACCCTGAGCCAGGATGTTCCACTGCATCACCCGTATAGATGGGTTGTGCTTATGGCTGCAGCGCGCCGTGCTGCTGGGTTGGACCAGAACCCTGTGGGGCCGGGCTGGACGTTTCTGCAGAACCTTCTCACACTCTCTGAGCAGCAGATTTGGATCCACCTCAGCTAGGTGCTGGTCCTCATCCTGGTCTGGGTTCTCCTTTAGGTATGGGTCAGGCTGGGCCAGGGGATCACTGTTAAGGGTCTGGGCCATGGTACCAAACAACTTGCTGCTGCTGCTGCCACCCATTGGACAAACTGGTGGAGAGGACACAGAGAGGACACACGTCACTACACAATACAGAACGAAGAAGACGGCCCGTTACACCAACAGAATCTGCAGTACTCAGCTTTGGTCTTTTAAGGATTCAGACCGTACAGGTCCAACATGTGGGAGACAAATGATTAGGATGGACAGACTGTTAGTAACCACCAGAACTGGAGTATCCTAATCTGACAGATTTGGCATCAAACCACTGATGCACCAAGCATCAAGGTTGGATTATCCAATAGGTTCAGAACCAGGGGACCAGCATGAGCAAATAGAATAAAAATGGCAACAAAAACGTGTTTCACGACCACCAGAGACCAGTGGGACACCACCAGAGAGACCAATGAGACAACACCACAGAGACACCACCACAGAGACCACTGGGACACCACCACAGAGACCACTGGGACACCACCACAGAGACCACTGGGACACCACCACAGAGACCAGTGGGACACCACCACAGAGACCACTGGGACACCACCACAGAGACCAGTGGGACACCACCACAGAGACCAGTGGGACACCACCACAGAGACCAGTGGGACACCACCACAGAGACCACTGGGACACCACCAGAGAGAACATTGCTGAACTGCTGAACAAACTCACCGTTCTGACCAGACCAGCATATATTAGATTACTGCTGCTCGTCATCACGCTGCTACCAGATACAAAACGTTTTACACACTTGAAAAATAATTCAAACTCTGTTTGTTAACCATGGACAGCTTCTAGTTGAATCAATCCTTCATGCAGATGAAAGACCGTCTAATGATACTAAAATACACTCCATGTTCCAACAGGCGGATCACTTCTGACAGAAAAACTGCTGGTCTTAAACCAACTCGTATAATAAACCAGTTCACATCAGCAGAGTCAGCTGGTTAGTCCAGTCTGTCCAGAACCAGACGCATCCCTGCCACCGACCTTAATGAACTTTGACTTACTCTGATAACAATCAGTCCATCCACCTAACACCCCTTCCTCCAGTCGGACCTTCAGCTCTCCATCGCTCCTCGTCCTCTGAGGCACACCGAGTGGAAGCAGAGACTTAGGACATAGATCCGCGCCCCCAGAGGCGAGGCGGGTCACAGAAAAATCCAGTCGGCTGGACCTCTGTAGAACAAAGTTCCAACTTACAACCAATAAAACAGCAGAGAGTGCTTCCTGGTACAGCTGGACGAGCTGGACAACGCAACCCAAAGAATCTTCCTTAAACAGTGATCTAATGTTTAAGATCTTTAATGGTCTTGCTGCTGCGCCCTCCTAACTCACCAGCAGTGCCATCCACATGACACATGACCCAAAAACCAGAGTGACGTGCTGAAATCACCGGCACGGGATGGAAAATGAATGAGGGATTGTCTGAAACATGTGACAGAGAACAGAGACACAACTGTCCTCAGAAGTGCTGACGTTGACTGGACGACAGACGGACAGCAACAGGACGGGCTGTCTGGACCTAACACCTTCACCTGGGTTTGGGCTCATACTGGGAATTCAAATGATTTATACCACACGCTGAAACACTAACCGCGTTTAAGGAAACAAAGCATCCATTCGTGGGTAGGTTCCATTTATCAGGACCTACATGAACAACAGAACCCAAAGCATCTCCTCAGAAGTTTACCCACAGCATCACAGAGCCACGCCCTTTCCAGGAGAGACCACGTGGACACTGTGGACGTCTACACAACTCCTGCAGCAGATGTAGGTCCATGTGGACTGCTTTTCCTCTGAATACATCCTTCTACAAGAAACACTATTGCTATGATACAGAGGTCACAGCCAGATGTGGCTCTACGGGGCCTTCTCCAGCCGTAGTAATGAGGCTCCATCTGTTTTCAACCAAACCAGGGAATAGACAGGTCCATAATCTATGGAGGAAGACTGTTAGATAGCCCACATGTTTAATGACCACCGAACCAGACAAGTCGTTTGAGTCTCAGAACCGGAGCCCCCCCCCAAAAAGAAAGATGGCTGAGTGAGTTCTGGTGACCAGCACACCCTAGCAGATGCTTCAGAAGTTGCTCAGATGAGTGTGAGGGTGAGCCTCCTGCCCTGGAGGGTAGTTGGTCACAGACTGATAGAAATAAATGTTAAAGATGAATACATGTCCTGTTAGGCCTGAACCCCCCGCATAGAAACAACCACCTTCCCAGAATCCTGTGGTTTTTACAGTCTTGGACATGACCCAGCTACACTTAAGAGGACCTCGTGGAGGGCTGACGGACTGATTGGAGCCTTGTATAGATCAGCCATTCCTGGTTGGTTACGTCACAAGCCTGACTCACAAGGGGCCCCAAGCCCAGCACTTCAAAAGGGCTCTTCGACTTGTGGCTTCTGGCCTCGGCATACAGATCCGAGACTGGAGACAGCCGCTAACGAATGAACACACACTCCTACAGCTCAGGGTGTTTGCGGGAACTGTGCTTCTGTAATTAACACTTGTGATTCAAGTAGAAAGAAACCCATTTAGTAATCTGAAGAAGTGGGCCTGTGGGCCTTGACGTGCGTGCACGGTCAACTTCTTCCTGAATGAGTGATGCTTTTTAGCAAATAAACTAAGGACAGGACACAAACGTTGCATTTTTTTAAAATTAACAACAGCCATATCTAGTCGAGAAATCTAGAGAACCCGTAGCAGTAGCAAAAGATTTTCTTTTTTAGGTTAGTTTAGCCCAGAGGTCGACAACCTGTTCCCATCAAAGAGCCATTATTACCCGTTTCCCACAGTAAAGAAAACACTGGGAGTCACACGGCTGCTTTAACCAATGACAACAGGTGACAGCAGCCAATACCGGTCGCTCGTGTAGGCTACGTCAGATTTTTCTTTCAACGAAGATAATCAATAAAATGATTTGTACAAAATGGCTCCAAAAGTTGTCGCCAGTCTCTGCCTACAGTGTTTAGATATTTTTCACCCTGTTAGTGGTTTCACTGAGCAGGTGCCACTTTTGTCACATACGTTTCTTTTTAAAACACGTTTAAAGGGTTCAGAACACGAATCCAGGCTCTGTCACGTTTGATTGTTGTAATTAAAGTTTGTAGGTGGGGAAGGTCAGAAAAGGATCCGATCAACGTGTTTTCCCTCATTTACAGTGATGGAGATAACGGCGCACTGGCTCTGGTGGTAATCAAGTTTAATTTGATCTCTTTGCAACAATTTTCACAAGAAAACAGAACAGTTAAAAGCAGGGCTTGTGTTGACCGGACAGTTCCCGTATTTGCCCGTTTATTTTGACGGAGAAAGAATAGAAAGAATTACCCCGACGCAAGCAGACGAACTGACGCTTTATTCGTTATGCACATCGCAAATGTAGCTAAATCACTCAAGACCAGATTCCCATCTGAACATCCGAGCTGGACACTGCTCAGCACAGCTCGCTGAGGATGTGGAGAGGGGCTTGGAGCGCGTCACAGAACCAGAGCACATGCAGGAAGATTACTCCCACTGAAGCGAGTGCTTCCCAAACCCTGTCTCTTAGAGAGACTTGTCACTTAGAAAATGTTCCGATTATGAAACTTTGGCTGAATAGTGCTTGTTCCTGTCTCCAATGTGGCGTCCATGAGCCTGTCTGAGGAAAAAGTCAAGAATCTCGCATCCTCTTCAGCTCAGAAATCGCCTACGATTACGCAAAAGCGTGACCCGTAAACCCGGTCTCACAGTAAGACCAGGTTGGACCTGTTCAGGTTCACGCAGACAATCTTTACATTTAGAATTAGCTTACAGATGTAAAATTTATGCAGTAAAATATAAAGCATTTTATTTAAATATCCATTCATTATTTTACAAGCACAGAGAGCCGTTTCCGATGGATGGGAGAGCCGCGGGTTGGAGACCCCCGTTCTAGCCACACTCCATTTACCCTCAGTATTTTATCCATCTATTATGCCGGTTTCACACCGGTAGCATCATGCTGAACGGTTTACCCACATACCTCAAAGTGGGCCTTTTACCCTGGGAGAGTCTTGGCAGCGGCATGTATGTGAATTTTATGGTTAATCAAGTATTAACCATTAAGGGCTTCAATAATCGATTAACAAAATTTGGAAAACGTACATTCCACATGAAGGTTGTTAAAAAACATCATGGACTCATTTAAGAGTAAACATCCTAAAGAGTGAGAAAACCAACGAGAGGGGACCTTGCAGTGATATAAAGTCTGACAGAAAGCATGAAATAATGACATTAAAGCAGATCCTGGGGGCTAAGCCCCCTTGTTTTTCAATGCTAGTGACATCCCTGGTAGAAAACTTTACTAAAGCAGAAGGTACATTGGTCCTGGTGCCTGACCTCCACATCTACAAAAAACAGAGAAACACCTTAATCAGAGTCAGGTTCTCAGCAGGGGAGAACCTGATAGGTGATGTCATTCCTCCCATCACATCACCTGTCAGGTGTTCTCTCCAGAAAAGCCTTCGGAAGCCTCCCACGGCATCAGGATGAAGCCCGGAGGCATACACACTCTCATCATTACTGGGACCAGTCTACACTACCTGGTGCTGTACCAGCCTTGGTGCTGGTGGCTCGTGCCGCCTTCAGCGGGATACCGGTCCCTCCAACCCCCCCTCCTCCTCCGTGACAGTACCGAGCTCCGGAAACACACATTTGACCGAATAAAGACGAACAGCGCCGAGCGGAGTTCATGTCACTAATTTAGCCGTTATAGAACAAAAAGTAACAAATTGTCCTCCGACGAGAGGCGGAAGCGCTGCGCGGTCAAAGGCCGGCCGGTAAAAGTTGCATCATGATTCCGGACCTTCAGAACTCCGAGGGAGGAGGACGAGGGTGTTCCGCTGGTTCCGGTACCGGGTGAGTTAGCGTCGCTCCGACAAATACATAAATTACAACACGTCCGCCTGCAGAGCTGAGGGTGTCTGCTCCAGCTCTGTTTCCACGCGAAGAAGGATCAAATTAAACGTTACAACGGGATCATGGACCCCCCTATAAGCATGTGGTTTGAGCGGTCCAGCTAAAATGAGGGCGTTACATATTCAATACTGAGCCAATCAGCGTCCAGGAATCTCTTTCGTCATGTTTGACGACATCTTACACAAGCACGCGCCCCCATAACCTGAGAGGGTACTTGCATAACCTTTCCCCCAGGTGTAGTTATTTGTCTGTAATGATCTGATTAAAGGAACGAGCAGCGGAACTAGCGGGCTGTGGGAAGTCCATGTTTTATATAACTTTATTAGTCGACTGGTAGAAAACGGAATGAAAAAAGGTCGCCATTCACACACATACAGCAGAAAAAACTCAAATAAACCTATCTTCCAGGTTGGAAATAAGGAGGACTCCTGCCAAAGCAAGCTATAAATACATGAGGAAATAAATAAGTAAACAAAATGGAAATAAATAAATTAACAAATAAATTTGAAAATGACAAACATGTAATTATTTATTTTAACATTTATTTATTTACTCATTTGTTCCCTATTTCATTTCAACGTTTATGTTTTATTTTATCTTCTCAACAATTAGCGAGCAAGTCACACCAAAATCAACCTTTTCAACAGTATAAATGAGTCTAATAGTATTGTAGACATGTGTAGTCATTATTTTTACATTTTCTTTAAAAACTAGATATTCGGCCTAAAAACATTAGCCTAGCGCCATCTTCAGCTTCAAACTATGCAACTGATTGGCCGTTTCTCAACACCCAAGGTTGCTAGTACATTACTGTGTATTTGATGTTCTAGGGTTGAAAGTGCAGTCAAGTCAAGTACGAGGACTGCATTTGGAACAGATCCATACTCCCTGATGTCATAGCAACAAGCACGGAAATATATTTGACATAAAATGGAGCCTAGAGTGACAGGTATGATTTCCCATGAAGCTGAGCTGAGAGCAACGTAACTGAGGCAGCGAGTATGAGCTAAGGAAGCAAAAATACAGAGGGTGGAGGCGTTACTTGTTAGCTTGCTTGCCTTTGTTGGTACTTCCTATTATATTATATACGATGTAACACAATTTACGTACAACAGAATCACATTTTTTACTTCATTGATTTTAAATCTAGGAAAGCGATAATATTAATTATTACTAATTAGCGGGACCATTTTGCGATATCATTTTGCAACATTTGCTTTTATGCATATGTGTGTTTGTGAGTATATTGGCAAAATGTATTTTTTAATACAACAAATATGTTTATTTTTTATTTATTTATTAGGGTTCCAAGCCCAAAGGGCAGGGGACCCTGTTGTTTTTTTTTCTTTTTTGTTATTCTAAATTCGTGATTAATGTCTGGATTTGTTTTTTTGTGCACACACACACACACACACACACACACACACACACACACACACACACACACACACACACACACACACACACACACACACACACACACACACACACACACACACACACACACACACACACACACACACACACACACAGAGAGAGAGAGAGAGAGAGAGAGAGAGAGAGAGAGAGAGAGAGAGAGAGAGAGAGAGAGAGAGAGAGAGAGAGAGAAGCATCCATTTGTGCATTAGCTCAAGTAACAATCAAATAAAAGGAGATCAGATGAGCAAAAACAAATTAATAAATGTTTTAAATAACCTATAAGATTGAATTTAATTTATTGATTTTCTTTAAACATCTTTGGTGTGTTCTTGCTGTGTTGAAGAACTAAAAGATGGAATTTTTGTTTTTCTTTTTAAATACATCTCAATTCTTTCTCCATAGGAAGCATCAAATCATAGAGATACGATGTGCCAAATAATAAAATGTCAGCATTAGAAGTGTTTGTTTTTTTTGACGCTGACCTGAAACCAGCATTCCGGCTCTCATGGACCAGCATTTACCAGTTTTTTCACCTGTTACCCCAGCAAAAGGATCATGGATGGAGCCAAGATTTACAAATCTTGGTAACTGGTTAGCTTGTGGCGCCTCCTACAGGATCACTGAGAACATATTCTCAATTCCAGTAGCACCAGTCTGCAGAATTGTCCACAGGTGGTGAAAGAAACGATCAATTTCCACAAAGTTGTTTATTTTCTCCAAAGAGGAAGAATTGGAGGATCATAGGAGCAGGTCTTGCTGGCCATGAGGCGTTCTGCTCTAGGTGCCACTGATGGATGCCACATTCAAATTCTTCCCCCTGCTGAACCACAGAAAATTTTTAGAAGAAATTACTTTCCCTAATAAATTTTGCAAGGCATTTGTGATGCAAATGGTTTATTTTTAGATGTGTAATTTGTTAACATTGGTTCAGTGTATGATGCTCTGGTCCTGCAAAGGTTTCCAATGTATTAACCTGCCCTTTATCCACCAGCTGGTGTCTTTATTTTGAGAGATGGTGGATACCCCTGTCTGCAGCTTCCTGTCTGCATAATGACCCCATATTGGCAACCAGTGGCCAGTAAGTCTGTATTCTTTTTTTTATTGCTGTATTTTTTTACAATCTACCGTACCACAGCTATTTTGATTAAATATTTTTATAACTTAAAAATAAAAATCTCTATTTTTTTTATAGGCAGGGTGGAACAACGATTTAACAGGCACCATGCCAAGGCCAGAAGCATCATTGAGCGTACCTTCGGAATACTCTTGAGATTGGTGACATTGGAGGAGTGTATCTGGAGAAGAGTTATCCAGGAGAGGCAGCGGCGTTAACGGAGGGGTCCAGCTGAATGTCTCGGCCAAACAGCATGCCCACCCAAACATGCACGAAAGAGGTTTTTGGCCATAGGTGGGTGTTCTATAGAAAGTAGGAACACAAAACTAACCTCTGACAGTTGAAAACTACCTTGAGAAAATCCTACTTAAGCACCTTGAGTAATGAACTTAGTTTTATTTCACTCAGGAAGGAGCAGTGACTAACTTTGTTTAAATCAACAGCGTTACTAACGGGAGTTTGTTTTTACCTTGACTGTGACATTGAAGCCAGCGTTTCAGTTTTGGATATTCCGCAAGGCTGCCAGCTCTCACACGCTGAGCGTGAGACATACGCATTCGACTCTCTTCACATGTTCTCGCGCCACACCTCCAATACCTCACGCTAAACCAGCGCCTGCGCTCCCCAAACGCGCATCACACACAGTGCGTAGGGCTTATGAAAAAACCAGATGATATTAATAATAGCATTAGCTACTGAACAACATGCACACAAACAACACTTAAAGAGCAAGTCAACCCCTACCAGAGTCTAACTCCGCTCCCACTTCATGTTTGAAAAATACAACAAATGCTGTTGCCTGGCAGACCGAGAAGGCGGAGCTGCTAACAAATACACACAGGCTCCCGACAGCATTGTGACATCATAATGTACCAGTTTACATCATAGCATACTTCTTAGCCAATAGCGGTGGCAGATTTAAATTAAAATACAGTGCAGAGTTTTTACCTGACAACGGCACAAAACTGCCAGTTTTAGGCAGAATATTTAAATTTTAACTAAGATGCACTGAAGTGCCAAATTATTGACGACACGTGTCTGCAGCACGATTAGACACTCGTTTATTTAGTTTATCAGCAAAAAAAAGTTTATTTGGGGGTGACTTGCTCTTTAAGTAATGATTTAACTGGCTTATTTCACACACAATCCCATCTGTATAATCCAAGCTAGTGATAATAATAATAATAATAATAATAATAATAATAATACATTTTATTTAAAAGCGCCTTTCAGAACACCCAAGGTCACTTGACAGAAAACACGTAATAAAATACAATAAAACAATGATAAAACCCAAACAAGAAAAAAAAAAACAGAGAGAAACAGTCCAATAAAATCAGAGGTTGTAGGCAGTTTTGAAAAGGGTAAAACTGTCGATGTTCCTGATGTCTGGGGGAAGTGAGTTCCAGAGACGAGGAGCAGAGCGGCTGAAAGCTCTGCTCCCCATGGTAGCGAGACGGGCAGAAGGAACCGCAAGATGGATGGAAGAAGAAGATCTGAGTGAACGGGATGGGGTGTGAATACTTATAAGGTCTGAGATATATGGAGGAGAGAGGTTGTGGATTGCTTTGAAGGTATGGAGGAGAATTTTGAAGATGGAATGTGATGTGACGTTCACGAGCGAATCGAATCTTTTGAACGGGTTTTCAAAGTGAACGATGAGAGCCGAGTCCCTGTAGAGAGCCGTTCATCTTGTCTTCCAGTAACAAACCTCCCCGGAAGTGCACCCGCTCAAACCCCACCCACCGCTGTGACGGACGTAGGAGGGACCGTAACCAACCCCGTGCGCCCTCACGGACACCGCAGGAACACGTTGCTCTGTGAGCTCCACCTGCTGTTGATGGGACGAGGATGCCCGGTTCTTCCTCCCAGAACCGTGAGCTGCAGCTGTGCGTGCCGCCAAAATGACATGCTTTATTTAGAAATGCAGCCGCGTCGCCAGACGGTGTTGACGGAGCTTCAGTCCCGAATATTTCTCTTTTGTTTTCACTCATCAGCCACAGATCCTCGCTCACAGCAAGCTGGGCTTCCTACCATGGTGACTCACTCACATGCTCCCTCTCCTACATTAGAAGGTGACACCAGCTGTCCTACAGGGGCAGGGTTCTGATAGTGAACAACCTGGTCGCCTCGTTTCTGTGGCACAGACTAATTGTACTGATTCCACCACTGGGTCTGCTGGAAGGTGTTCAGAAGCTGTTGGTGAAATTCTTCTGGTCCGGTCACCACTGGATCAGAGCTTCGGCTCTTTGCCTACCCGTGTCAGAGGGAGGACAAGGATTAATAGACGTGGTGTCTAGAACTGCAGCCTTCAGGTTACAGACAGCTCAGAAGCTTCTTTATGGTGACGGACTCTGCTGGCTGCCCCTGGCGCATCTCCTGCTGTAGAAGGTTGGTGGGCTTGGGCTGAACAAACACCTGTTGCTGTTGAATCGGAAGGTGTTGGATCTGTCAAGGATTAGTCCGTTCTACTCGTCAGTGCTGGACTCTTTTAAGCTGCTGACGGTTTCCAGGACGTCTGACACGGGACCAGGGACATGGCTGCTACAAGAACCC